TAGTGTTGAAGAAGTTTCCATAACTTCCTCTTATCCACACTGTCAAATGCCTTTTCATAATCAATGAAGTTGATGTATAGTGATGAGTTCCACTCAACTGATTGTTCGACGATGATCCGTAGTGTTGCAATTTGGTCTGTGCATGATCGATCCTTACGGAATCCAGCTTGTTGATCTCGAAGTTAGGCATCTACTGCATCTTTCATCCGGTTCAGCAACACTCTGTTGAAGATCTTTCTTGGTATTGACAGTAGTGTAATGCCTCTGTAGTTTTCACATTTGCTCAGATCTCCTTGCTTTAGAATCTTGACGAGGTGACCTTCTTTCCAGTCCATCGGCACTTGTTCCTCCTCCCAAATCCTTTTGAATGGTCAGACGGTAGAGCATGTTTGTAGTTACTCCGATGTCTGATTTCAGTGCTTCAGCTGGTATGTTGTCGGACCCCACTGCTTTCCCGTTCTTGATTTGTCTGACGGCCATTCTAATTTCTTCCGTCGTTGGTGGGTTGACGTCTATGGGAAGATCTGTGTGTGCTGCTTCGATGTCCGGTGGATTCATTGGAGCCAGCCTATTCAGGAGTTCCTCGAAGTATTCTACCTATCTGTTCCGCTGTTGTTGAATTTCAGTGATTGGCTTGCCTTCTTTGTCTTTGACCGGTCTCTCTGGTTTACTGTATTTTCCTGCTAGTTTCTTCGTTGTATCGTAAAGCTGTTTCATATTTCCTTCTCTAGCAGCTTTTTCTGCCGTCGTTGCTAGTTCTTCCACATATTTCTTCTTGTCGGCTCTAATGCTCCTCTTCACTTGTTTGTTTGCTTCTATGTATTCAGCTTGTGCTTGGACTTTCTCTGCTCGTGTTCGGCTGTTGTTTATTGTTGCCTTCTTGTTCTTCCTTTCTTTGATCTTGTCCAGTGTTTCTGTAGAGTTCCATTTCTTATGATGGTGTTTCTTTAGGTCCAGAACCTCTTGACACGTTGAAGTTAATGCTTCCTTGATGCCTTTCTAGTTGTCCTCCATACTAGTTTCTTCTTCCTTCCGTAGATCTTGCAAGGCTTGGAACCTGTTGTTGAGAGCAATCTTGAATTCATTGAGTTTGTCAGTATCTCGAAGGAAGGCTGTATTGAACCTTTGTAGTGCTGTTTGTCCACTTGATCAGTTCTTTTTTAGCTTCAGTTTTAAATTGGCCACAACTAGGTGGTGACCTGAAGCTATGTCAGCACCTCTCTCGGTTCTCACATCTCCCATTGTCCTTCGGAATTTTTTGTTGATGCAAATATGATCTATCTGGTTCTCTGTATTGTGGTCCGGTGAGATCCATGTAGCCTTGTGTATACGCTTGTGTGGAAATATTGTGCCCCCTATGAGCAATTTGTCGAATGCACATAGATTTGCAAATCTTTCTCCATTTTCGTTTCTCTGTCCCAGTTCATGTAGTTTCATAATATCTTCATATCTGATGATGTCTATTCCGACTTTGGCATTTAGATCTCCCATTAGAATGGTGAGGTCCTTTCTTGGGCATTTCTCCATGATTGACTGCAGCCGCTCGTAGAATTGATCTTTAATGTCGTCGTTGCTATCATTTGTGGGTGCATAACATTGGATAATATTCATTAAGATCCCCTCCTTCTTTGTTTTGAATGATGCTTTGATGATTCTGGATCCGTGAGATTCCTATCCTACAAGTGCATTTCGTGCTTCTTTGGACAGCATTAGAGCAATTCCCTGAGTGTGTGGAGCATTTTCCTCTTCGTGACCGGAGTATAGCAGCATCTCTCCCGTAGCTAGCCTTTTCTGTCCAGCTTAGGTCTTGTGAGTTTCGCTTATTCCCAGTACTGCCAAATTGTATCTCCTCATTTCCGTTGCTATTTGACTGGTCTTCCCGGTTTCCCACATTGTTCAAACGTTCCATGTACCTTTAAAATTTTTTGTTCTGGTTGTTAGAAGGGGCATCAGCCTCGTGGCTTCCGAAGGAACTCGGCTTTCACCATGAAGCGTCATAATTCTTCTAAATGAAGACCTTTTAACTCCCAGGGTAGAGTTTAAATGGTTTGGATTATTTTTTCTGGTAAGCGTTTTTTAGCGAGTTTGTTTTCTACGGGATGGGGACGCTAACCCGTGCCCAACCCTCCTCCTTTACCCGGGCTTGGGACCGGCAGTAACTCTAGAAGTGCTCCAGGTGGAGTTAGAAGAATCATTAGTTCGCACAAATACCGAAAGATTACATCATGAATATCTTGTAAACCAATAACATGTTTACCGGTTTCTAACATGGATTCAAGAAAATCTCATAGTGTTCAACATTCATCCTAATAGATAGATCAAGATCAAGAGAGTCACCTTAAAAGAATGCGTATTATCTACACCAAAGGATTTCACGATACAATGAAAAGCCCCTAAAGAAGCTTGTAAATATACTTATTCCTAGAATTTCGATAAGCATCAGATCATCACTTACCGATCACCAAGATGAGATTGAAACTCAAGCACTGCACAACGGGGCGGACAACATCACAAAAGTTCAATACGGCCTTTCTTCAGGATACTGACAAACTCAACAAGTTTAAGATAGTCCTCACCAATACGTTCCAGGCCTTTCATTATCTACTCAATAAAGAAGGAACTACTAAGGAGAGCAACTGGAATAGGATCAAAGAGGCAATCACTTCAACATGTCATGAGGTCCTGGGTCACAAGAAGCACCATCACAAAAAATGGATCACTGTTGATACACTGGATAAGATTCAAGAAAGGAGGATCAAGAAGGCAGCAATCAATACCAGCCGAACAAGAGCAAAAAAAACCAAGGCACAAGCTGAATACACAGAAGTAAACAAACAAGTGAAGAGGAGCATCAAAACCGACAAACGTAAATTTGTGGATAATTTAGCAACGACGGCGGAAAAGGCTGTATGAGAAGGAAGCATGAAACAGCTGTATGACACTACAAAGAAACTCTCTGGAAATCGCCGCAAACCAGAACGACCAGTGAAAAGCAAGCAATGCAAGGTAATCACCAACATTGATGAACAACGAAACAGGTGGGTAGAACACTTCAAAGAACTCTTGAATCGACCAGCTCCACTGAACCCATCCAACATCGAAGCAGCACCCACCAACCTCCCAATCAATGTTGGCCCACCAACAATTGAAGAAATCAGCATGGCCATTAAACAAATCAAGAGTGGCAAAGCAGCAGGACCAGACAACGTTCCAGCAGAGGCACTAAAAGCAGACGTAGCAGTAAATGCAAGGATACTCCACATTCTCTTCAATAAGATTTGGGATGAGGAACAGGTACCAAAAGACTGGAAGGAAGGACTTCTGATCAAAATACCGAAGAAAGGCGATCTCAGCAACTGTGATAACTACAGGGGCATCAATCGTCTCTCAATACCGGGAAAAGTCTTCAACAGAGTATTGTTAAACAGGATGAAGGACTGCGTAGACGCCCAACTTTGAGACCAACAGGCAGGATTCCGTAAGGATAGATTGTGTACAGACCAAATCGCAACTCTACGGATCATTGTGGAACAATCAATTGAATGGAATTCATCACTCTACATCAACTTCATTGACTACGAAAAGGCATTTGATAGCGTGGACAGAACAACACTATGGAAACTTCTTCGACACTACGGCGTGCCTCAAAAGATAGTCAATATCATACAGAGTTCATATGATGTATTACACTGCAAAATCGTGCATGGAAGACAGTTGACAAAGTCGTTCGAAGTGAAGACCGGTGTTAGGCAAGGTTGCTTACTCTCACCCTTTCTCTTTCTCCTGGTGATCGACTGGATCATGAAGACATCAACATCTGAAAAAAACGCGGGATACAATGGACATCTAGGATGCAGTTGGACGATATAGACTTCGCAGATGATCTGGCCCTTACATCCCAAACGCAACAACAAATGCAGGAGAAGACGAACAGTGTGGCAGCTGCCTCAGCAGCAGTAGGTCTCAATATACACAAAGGGAAAAGTAGGATCCTCCGATACAACACAGTATGCACCAATCCAATCACAATTGACGGAGAAGATTTAAGATGTAAAAACCTTTACATATCTGTGCAGTATCATTGATGAACAGGGTGGATCTGATGCAGATGTGAAGGCGCGGATCGGCAAAGCAAGAGTACCATATTTACAACTGAGGAACATCTGGAACTCAAAACAACTGTCAACCAACACCAAGGTCAGGATTTTCAATACAAGAAATCCAGACAAGTTAGCTGGACGAAACGTTGGAATTAGTTATATTTCACTCGCTGAGAATATTTCAAATATAATTTTCACATATAAAATGTCAACACAGTTCTGCTGTATGGGGCAGAAACCTGGAGAACTATGAAATCCATCATCCAGAAAATACAGGTGTTTATTAACAGTTGTGAGATGGTGGAGAAGATTTGTAGCTCAGGTGGATGATTTTGGTGGAGTTTTGTTCTCCAGCTCAGAGAACAAAACTCCACCAAAATATTAACAGTTGTCTACGCAAAATATTTCAGATCCGTTGGCCAGACACTATCAGCAACAATCTACTGTGGGAGAGAACAAAGAGATTAGAGAGGAGGAAGAAATCAGGAAGAAGCGCTGGAAGTGGATAGGACACACATTGAGAAAAGCGCCCAACTGCGTCACAAGACAAGCCCTCACATGGAATCCTCAAGACCAAAGGGAAAGAGGAAGACCAAAGAACACATTACGCCGGAAAATGGAGATAGATGTGAGAAAAATGAACAAGAATTGGATGGCATTAGAAAAGAGGGCCTAGGACAGAGTGGGTTGGAGAATGCTCCATTAGGAATAACAGGCGTAAGTTAAGTAAAGTAAGTAAAGAATGTTGATAACGTGGATACTGAATGACTGTACAATGAGACTTGTACATTAGAATTGATAAAGTATGTTTATTCTGCTTTAACAAATACCTGGAGTATAGCATCAAGAAGTGAGGACTAAAAAATAATTTGATTCACATCGTTACGTAACGTAGGTATTGGCAATTTGAGGCGCGTGTTTCCCGGGTTGCGCAACAAGTAGGTGTGTGGTCATATATGGTCTAGTTTTTGACTACGGATTGTTTGAGCCGGAGTTTTCCCACATGATCAACGGTCTCCATTTAAAATCTTAATGTGTGAATAGACGCTATGTGATTTATTGTGTTCGTTTTCAAAAGGTTTCGTACTGTTTTTTTGAGCTCACCAGTGTGTAATGACAAATTAACTCTGTTATGCGCACTGAAAGTAACATCTAGTAAACTATTGTTTTGGTTCATTATATTTTAATCGCCATCCAAAGATGTATTTGGTCGCCTCATGTAATTGACTTCCATGACATTAGACACCCAATACCACTTATTTACTTCGAGCTATACCCATGGAATCACTCTTCTTTCTTTTTTGCCATCACTTTGGACTTAACTGTAAATGTGTCTTCTAATGCGAATCTCGATTATCTTTTGTCATTGAATGCGTGAAATGAATTTTTGTGTGTGTCTAGTTGAGTTAGCTACAGAAATGTCTGTTTCATGCTCAGTGTGTTATATGCTGGTCTTGTTCTTATATGACACTTGGTAGCGTAGGATCCACCTGGTAATGATTCGTTTTAGATGCTGAGTTTTAAGTTTTTCCAAATAAATGAACAACGTAAATAAATTTTCTAAAGTATTACACTTACATGCTGTGATCACTTGGTAAATAACTTTATGATGATTTGTTCATTTTTAGTTGAGGTAATGACTTGGCTTCTGAATGTTCTAATATTCATTTATTAAAATGTATTTTGTGTTTACAACTACAGTTTACTTTTATATTTTGGCTGGCTAAACAGGAAAGTACTCATCGTTCCTAACATATCTCATTTAATAATTTTAATGCCGCTAATCATATGAATCGCTGATTGACTTAATAATTTTCTTTTCCCTATTGTGTTTTACTGTTACAGGGAAGAAAGTTTCAACTTCTCATCTTAACAAGTTGCAAATAGTCATGGATGAAGACCAAGTTATCGTTATCGTATGTTCTTATTTTGATGACTCATTCTTTATATTACTATTTCTACCTTCTACCCAGGATGAACAAGATAGGCCGTTTGAGGAAGAACTTATTCGTAATCCACACAATGTTAAATCGTGGCTTAGATACATTAGTATGAAAGCGAAGTCACCCCCAAAAGTGGTTTATATGTTATATGAACGAGCTGTAAAACAATTGCCCGGGAGGTAGGTAGTGATGAGTTTAATATCTATGTTTTGTGAACAGTTATAAATTATGGTACCGTTATCTACGTCTACGGCGTGTGCATTCACGTTCTCTTTGTCCTGGTAGTATTCTGCATGAAGAAACTAATAATGCCCATGAAAGAGCTCTTGTTACAATGCACAAGGTTTTGATGGCTTTAATTTATTTACCCTAAACAATTTTCTTTCTAGATGCCTCGTATATGGATAGATTATTTAATGTTCCTAATGTCACAAGGATTGATTACTCGAACAAGACATGCTTTTGACAGGGCATTGAAAGCTTTACCAATCACCCAACATGATAGGATATGGAATTTGTATTTAAGATTTGCTGATAGACACGGTCATAAAATTAACGAGACCTGTGTACGAATCTACAGACGATATGTAAAGGTATGTATGTTTGCAGAAATTTTTCTATATTCATAATGTTCTTTATTAATTTAGTTTGCTCCAGATGATATGGAACGTTTTGTCAATTTTCTTATTCAACATGGAAATGCCAATGAAGCCGCAGTTGTCTTATCTGAAATAATCAATGATGATAGTTTTATGAGTCGTGAAGGAAAATCGAAATTCCAATTGTGGAACCAATTATGCAATCTTTTGGTTAAAAATCCTTTGAAGATTACGTCGCTGAAAGCAGATCCTATTATTCGTCAAGGAATTCATCGTTATACTGACCAGGTGAATTTTTTAGTTTACTTTAACTATTCAAATTTGGTTATTTAGGTTGGTGTTCTATGGAATTCTTTAGCTGACTATCATATACGTTGTGAAAATCTTGCACGGGCCAGAGATGTTTATGCAGAAGCATTGAGTAGCGTCTCAACAGTTCGTGATTTCACTCAAGTTTTTGATGCCTATGCTGAATTTGAAGAATCAATGGCAAAGGCAAAGATGGCTGCTTTGGAACAATCTGATGTTACAGAAGATGGTAGGATATTAATTATAGTTTGAAATTTGTTTCTATATTCTTTCCTTTTCATGGCTTAATAATTATATGAGAAATATAGTGACATTTCCATATATGTTCAGTAAATTACACTACTAAGCAGTTAGTTAATAGACAGTATGGGCACTTAATAACGTGAACAATATTTTTCCTAGAGCTTTTTCTAAATGGATGTACTCTGGTCGATCTATGTACGTTATTCAATCAGGTTGGAGCACTTGAAGTTGCTACACTCAGTTACAATCAACGTAAAATGTGACATCAATATCTGGGTTATCAACCTTTCCCCAATCTTGTTAAAGTGCGTTTTTGAAATTGATAAATCGACTACCATCAGCTATAGATATGTTCTGTCATTAAATTTAATGCATTAATGCTTCATTCATTTTCTCTTATAACAAATCGCTTTCTTCGCAGATGAGTTGGATGTCGAATTGTATCTAGCACGTCTTGAATCTCTCATGGATCGTCGTCCTTTACTCTTAAATAGTGTGTTATTACGTCAAAATCCTCATAACGTAGCGGATTGGTTGAAACGTGTTGAATTATTGAAAAGTCAAGGAGCACGTGAACAGATTGCAGCATTCATGGAGGGTATTACATCGGTTGATCCAGGTGAGTAGCAATTAGTCATGCCGTAAAAGAGCTACAAAAATATCGTTGTAAACACATTTAGTGAGGAATTTTTAGTTTACACCCTAATCCTATCGTTTAGTTGATTTTACCCAATTAATCATTACTGAGCATGCATTCAAATCACGTCTTGTTGTGATGCATCTACTTAGTACAGGTTTTGTGTACTCAACTTTTAATAACATGTAATTTGGTGAAGCTAGTAATATTATCTAGTCTCCTAAACCCTAAGTATATGTTGTCAACTTTTAATTCTGTTAGCTACTAGTTAAAATATCAGTGATTTAATTAAACATCCATCACTCAAAGTTTACAGTTACATAGCGAAAAACTAACTTATTTTATGTCCCATTCAAAAACCCAATACTAGTCAAACGTTTTTAAAAATTTCTTCATATCGTCTACCTTTATACAACCTTGTTGCATAAACGTATGGTAATTGAGTGAAGTCTGATCTGTTGTAACATGCATACATACCTTTTTATGAAGATGTATATATTATTTTATCGGCTTCACAGAAAATATTGGTATATACTTGGTATGTATTTGTTTAATGGTCAGATCACTAAAATAAATGGGAGTTGTTATACATGATACTTCTGGTAGATTGAACGAAATTAGTCCTATACTTTCTTAGTTTCTTTTTTGTTCAACGGATCTTCACGTTGGCTTCATATATTTTTATGATCACCAATTAACACAAGTACATTATATGCCTCCTTCTGTTATGTCATTAAAAATAGTCTCAACTCAACTTTCACCATCGGTTAGAAAAATACCAAGACCTATTGTTATAAATCTACATGTGTACAATATTTGTTTTTGTAAAAATGCTGTACAATAATTAAAATTTACTGTTTTAAAGCTAAGGCAACAGCAGGTCGTCCATCATCATTATGGACTGGTCTGTCACGTTTATATGAAGAACATGGTCAGTTGAATGATGCACGAGTAGTACTTGAAAAAGCAACTGGTGTTGCTTTTATGCATGTTGAAGATTTAGCAGCTGTATGGTGTGAATGGGCTGAAATGGAAATGCGTCATGAGTAAGTCCCAAAATTATCAGCTGTGTTGTTCTCTTTTTTCTCTCTTCCTTATATTGTATTTCATTGATATATGATCCAAATTTTATTCAAAGTTGTATAAAAATCCGGAAGGAATTGTAACAGATGTTTTATTTATTTATTTAAACACATAAACATTGGTACGATGTGGCACCAAACAGATATGTGGCACATAAATCATTCGATTTGTCTGAGGGCTGGAATACTGTCCGGGTGTCCATACCGAAACGGGGGTTTTCTTAGGGGGCCACACCCCAAGCCTTTGACCTAGAGGTTTAATCCACAAGGCAGTGGAGCAACGTCAGGAGATGCAGTCCCATGGTAGCCGGTGATCAACGATTGGTTCATACGCCATTTGTTTCCTTATGATCCTGAAGCCCATGTTTACCATTAGTTTGGAATTGTGGTTTCTCAACTCCCGTATGTGGACTCTCTATGTCCACCGACCAGGATAAAGTGCCGGATATTCGTTATGATTTTTGTTTCATTTAGGACAGCCATGGACATTGTTACTATTTGGACTTTGTAGACCTTTTTTCTTTACAATTCCTGCTCTTGGTATATAAACAGCGGAAGTTTGAACTTCATTTTATCAATTTCTTTTCAAGCTACCGGATGCCATCACTACTAATCATCATACATACGATTTTGTAACTCGAGCTGAGTACATGATCCTGTACAAAAGTTTTAAATAATGCTGTAAAAACATATTTCAAATAGGCCCAAAATTTCTATTGAAATATTTATTCGGTTGCGAAAATGTATTATATCAGAAGTTTAAGCCAGCTGCCGAAGTTTTCGTAAACATATGTCTGAATGCGTTCACCTCTTTTACTATAATCTTAAGTCATGTTCATTGTAGAGCTTGGCACAAATGTAAGCTGACTCAAATTGCTATGACAAGATGAATGACAACGGGGTCCGAAATAATTGCAGTAATAATGTTAATGAGAGATATGTATGAACTATGGAATGCTAGAGGACTATTAAGCGTGGATGCTTTTGCATTATTGTAACCGATTCTGAACCAATGTTAACCAACGTTTTCAAATATAGATTATTATTATTCTATGAATACATCAATAATAATATCAGTCAGTCAGTAACAACGTAGAACTTCGTACGTACGCACATCAGTTCGACTTGCCATACCAGTTATCTTGTATGAAATAAAGAGATCACAATGTGAAGTATTTGGTAGTAATATATTTCACAGGAACGTACTGAGTATATATCACTCAGGTAGAAAGCAAATGTAGCGTATACGTATCACTTCGTATGTTGTATGTAGATTAACCCAACAGTCAAAATTGTAGTGTACGAGAAGTAAATTGACAGTCAACTGTGCGGTGTTTTTTTCGGGTTAGCAGACCAATCAATCAGTATGTGAATTATTACATAAGTTCATACAAAAACTTAATAGATAGTAGATGAGGGAATATACACGAACAAAATTTAACAAATAATCATTTGAACAAACACAAAATAATTAACAGAATCTCAATTATGATATACTTGTTTACCAGGCTATTTACTTGTTTAAACAAAGATAGATTTGCCCCCAAATGCCCTAGTACGGCCGAGAGTGGGGAGAGTCTGCTCTTCCTCTTGAAATGCGCCCACATGGCCACGCGTATATAGCCTCTGCTAGGGAAGTCCTACTCGCTGCCTTCTCGTGGCGGGGGTTTTGTTTACGAATTTGAGAGGATGAAAAGCGAATGTCTGGCGCTTTAACCGGGTTGGTGGACATGGAGAGTCAACCTAGGGAAGTTGGAAAACCTTCATTCCAAACCAATAGTTCACATGGGCTCCAGTATCGTGAAGGAACAAATGGCGTATGAACCAATTTTTGATCACCGGCTACCATGGGACTGCATCTCTTTACGATGCTCCACTGCCTTGTGGATCAGACCTTTAGGTCGAAGGCTCCGTGTGTCGCCCCCTAAGAAAACCACTAGCTTCGGTTTGGGCACTCAGGCAGTATCACAGCTCACACACAGATATGTGTGGCGCATATGTATTTGGTGCCTCCTTGTACCAATATCTATGTGTTAGAATAAATAAATAAGTAGAGTAATGCAAGGATGCTACAATCTCAGCTAGGGTAGGCTGTGACTAAGTATACATAATTCATGACCATAATCAATTTAAATGACGAAGAGTTTTGAAGTTTTACCATCAGTTAAATTGGCATTACTTGTCGAATATCGTACACCTAATTTCATTTCTAATCTCTTGGTATTTAAAACGTTTATTGTATTCATTTCTACTACTGATTACATATGTTATTCATAGTAGTATTAATAAAACCAATGATTATTATCTCTTTTCCCCTTTAAAAATAAGTCAACCTGAAGCAGCACTTCGTTTGTTAGGGAAAGCTACTACTGCACCATCACGTAAAGTCGATTATTATGATCGTTCAGAACCTGTTCAAGCACGACTCCATAAATCTTTACGTCTTTGGTCGTTGTATACGGATTTAGAAGAAAGTTTTGGTACATTTGAAACAACAAAGGTAAATACCGACTATTTCTTTATAATACAAATCATCTAACTAAAATAACTAGTATGTTAGTTTACTTATAACAACTGTAAATTTAAGTACCGATTTAAGGAATGCAATCAATAGAGATAAGTAGCCTAGAACTTTTTGTCTCAAGATGAGTCTTTTTAGCTTGGTTAGTTTAAACATTTAGAATTCTTGTATGAACCTCAACCAGAAATTCTCACAGTCTCTACAAGACTCGATCTAGCTGGCAAAGATTTTAATAGACCACCGTTATTTTGTAGGTTAACCTCCATCAGTGCTCCTGTTTTGTTATCCCACTTGTATGCTATCTTTATTAGTAGCTGTGGATAGTCAATGATGGCTGAATATCCGTAATGAAGTTAAAACAAATTGAGATGTTCTAGGTATATACTTTTTTAAAGTAATTTTTGACAACTTATTCATCGAATATACTTCAAGAATCCTATAATTTACAATGGCCTTTTTTGGTAAAAAAATAACTTTTAACAGTATCTTGCTGTTATCCTAACAACAGCTTCCAGGTGATCTTTTTATATACCGGAAGTGTTTTGTAGAAAATTAGTTCACAACTAACTGACTGAGGTAGTATTCAGTTCTTTGGTACTCTTGGAGTTATTCACTTGTTATCTTTAACAATGAATTCAATTTAACTTATTTATCAGGTACAGATTAGTGTACTTGGTGTTGAGCTACACTATGAAGATGAGGGCTAGGGATGCTATCCATGTGATTAAAACGAAAATAGATGGAGCTGAGTTTGGTCCTGTTGCTCAGAGACTAAAAGTCATACGCCTTAATAAATAAACTACCGTTTCGAAAAGATGAATACACCAAGTACATGGCTTCGCGTCATACTATACGTGTATTCGAAGTCTATTAGTGGTATTATTCGGTTGATTAAACAATAAAAAATATCTGAGTTTCATCTAACTCTATGATTATAATAGTTGTGTATATTCTAACGAATGGTTTACGTTACATGATTGTATCCACAGTTCTCATGATTTCTTTTATTTATTTGTCTTAAAAAAACCCATATTTACCTACCTTAAAAGTTAATCTTTCTGAAAAACTGATTTAACTATTCTTATATATTTATTACAATATAAGCTAAGCTTATGTTAAAATCATCATTCTGAATTTTATCCAAATGTAATAAAGAACATCGTTCCAGTTGATCTGAATTGGATTATTCCGTTGTTGAGATTTTTATCGAGTTTTGATAAATTTGAATTGGCTTAGTAACCAAGTTGATCATGCGTTCGTGTGTAAAGTGATGATTACTGGGTCCTAATCCCGCAGTGGACATCAACCCCGGGATGCTAATACACCCAGCTGACGAGTCCGAAATAGGTCGAAACGCCTAACTTGGATTCTATTACCAGCCAAATTCTATCTATTCCATATTATCCGAGTTGGATTACACAAATAAGAAACATTAGATGTTGTGAAATATATATGCTTGTTTGCAATTGATTAGTCATTGAATGGTGACCAATGTTATTTATTTCAACTCCATCTTAGCCCTAATCGAACCCTATCGGTCAACTTGCAATTTGACCACTAGTTTAAGTGACTCGGGATTACATCCATTATGTTGAGATGTAAGTTGTTGATTGGAGGTAGTCGTCAGAAAATCCTGAACCTAGGTTTCATACCATTCAGCACTCGTCATCTAGGTAAACCTGTAATCTTGAGGGAACTGATGCTCTCTGGACGTTTCGGACTTTATACACATGAATAGTGCAAAAAGGCGTGAAACCGAGGTCCGGGGTTTTTCATCGACTACATTCAATCAACGCCTTAAAAAACATTTCTGTTTACTACAACAAATGAAACCTGTTTTTTCATAGGAAGAATATTTAATTAGCATAATCATTATTTAATTGTTCTCTTTATTGTAATACTCATAGGCTGCTTATGATCGAATGATTGATCTACGTATAGCAACTCCTCAAATTATTATGAATTATGCATTATTCCTGGAAGAATTAAATTATTTTGAAGATGCTTTTAAAGTTAGTTGAAAATATTCATAATGATTTTGTGTTTCACTTTTTTTAACCATATTGTTTATATCTATGATTAGTCGGATTGGTATATTGTTCCACTATAGTTGGATAGTGTTTTTCTAAATTGTGCATACTTGGTTATTATTGGTACTCTTGTTGACTGATTGATGCATGTATCAATCATGATGAAGATCAGCTGTAGCCTAAATAACTCAGTCATAATATCTCAGGCTGTGAAACTGATCGAAATGGGTTTCAATCACACAAACTGTATCAACTTCTTTGAAATTGTGGGTACATCTTGCTACAAACGAATGCTAGCTAACATGGAACCTATGTGAAACAAGTCTTTCTACGGATTGCTTCAAACAAATCAACATACTTGAGTATAAGCAGAGATGGATAGTGGCTAGCAGTGGAATCCAGGACGCGCGTTAAGTGGATAACGCGATGGCGTTTGAAGCGAACGGTACTGAGTTCGAGTCCCAGAGTGAACATCAACTCTGAGATGCAGGTACATCCAGCTGACGAGTCCCAAACAGGACGAAACGCGCGTCCTGGATTCCACTGCTAGCCACTATCCATCTCTGCTTATAATGCTTGTAAATTAAGGCAATATCGAGGCATACGCACAGTATGCACATATGCCAATAAGAGACTGATCAACTTCAGTCCTAAAACATCAATGGGAAGATTCAAATAAAACAATATCAAGTGAGTTATACTTGAGTATGTTTAGTTTCATGCGTAAAACTGATGAATTTACTTAATTCGGTAAATAACATATAATCCATCTAGCATAGATACAAACTTTGTATGTGGACTCCAATTTAAACTACATTTTTCTGTGTTTGAGAGTTTGTGTCTTACTTATCGGTTTTCTTAAATGAATTAGTTGAAGTGAGAAAGGTTGTAGTTTTCTATTTATTTAATTAAATGTTCAGGGGTTTCTAACTTCTAACACATTGGTATACTCTTACTAGTGATCAAGTATTCTTGTTTTGCACATTTATCTACTGGATATTAGATACTATTTGACTTTTTAATTCGTGGCAGTTGAAATGGTTTATGAGGTCGAATTGTTAAACTATGTTTGCATAACAAATTTACTTGATAATTTAATGATTAAGGCATTGAACTTAAGATAATTTGGTCATAGTTTGACACCTTATTCATCAAATTTTTTGATGTGGATAGTCGGATACTTTAATTAGTAATAAAATTAAACCACCTCTGTTTGCATAATACATCTTCACAGTTAATTTTTTTGTCCAGTAAGAATGTTTAAATAATATTATATCTCTCGCTGACTTTCAGGTTGAACTTCTTTGTACTTCCAGCACTTGAGTGAGAATAGGGGGTACTTGTCTACTGTTAAAGTGCTGTTATGGTTATAAAGGTGCTTGTTACGTCCCGGTTGCCCACAGCGTTAAACGATACTTGATGGAGCTGAAAAAACTGGGTTAGGGGGTAGTTTTTGATAATTTGAGAGTCAGTCAGTCAGTAACAACGTAGAACTTAGTACGTACGTACATCAGTTCGAGTTGCCATACCACATTAGCACAGAGATGCAGTGGTCGATTCAAATCCCGTAGTGGTAGAGGTAGCAAGAGTATAAGCAGTAATCGGGAAGATTAGGGTTTGGAGATATTATTTAACGAGTATAATCCAGTGAAATAAATTTGGAAAGAGGAAAAAAAGGGGCATGAAGAATTCAGATAATTAGAATTTGGGAGAACATAGAGAGTGGATGCACTTGCGCCATTGCAAACGATTTTGAGCCATGTCATTCAGGGTCTCTAACCATCGATTGCTATCATCTCGCGGTCCCCAACCAGGTAGTCTACACCTACCATCATGACTCAGTCCACTTGTCAGTGACTTCATGGATTTTTGCCATGTTTTCGTCTGGCCGCCCCTAGCTTTCTTCCAACCTACTCCTATACCACTGAATATAGCACGTCGAGGTAGTCGGTGGTTGGGCATACGTAACACGTGTCCCAGCCATCTCAACTGATGAAGTTTCACTACTTCATCAATTGATTTGCCATCCTTACCTAGTACCCGTTTCCTAACAGCTGCGTTACTTACTCGATGGTCCCATGATATACGAGCAATACTTCGAAGACACCTATGATCAAATACTAGTAACCTACGAATATCCTCTACTCTTACCGGCCATGTTTCACAGCCATAAAGTAGGACGGAACGAACTGCTGCGCAGTAAACACGTCCTTTGGTTGGTAGACGGATATCTCGCCTACGCCATAAATGACGCAAGTTGGCAAGAGCTAGTCGAGCCTTCTGTATCCGTGCTGAGATTTCGTCACACACCAGACCACAAGGGCTGATGAGACTTCCAAGATAAGTGAAGCGGTCGACACACTCAACTACTTCACTCCCTATCACTAGTTCGGGTGTCGATGTAACCCAATCCTGAAGCAACATTTTGCATTTCGAGGGAGAGAATCGCATCCCGAACATGCTTGCATTGTTGCTTAGAGTGGTCAGAAGACTCTGCATTTTGTCAGCGTCTTCACCAAATAAAACTATGTCATCTGCATATTCTAAGTCAACAAGTGAACCTCCCGGTAGAAGTTCAACCCCCGGAAATTTAGATGAGGAGAGTGTTATCTCTAAAAGTACGTCGACCACAAAGTTGAACAAGAATGGGGAGAGTGGACAGCCCTGACGAACACCACTTGAGGTAATCAATTCTGATGACAGTTCGCCATAAGCTCTCACTCTACCAGTTGTGTTCGAGTAGAGAGCCTTTATAAGGTTAATGTACTTCTTTGGTACTCCTTTCAATGACAAACACTGCCATAGAACCTTACGATCAACAGAGTCGAATGCCGCCTTAAGGTCGAGAAATACTACCATTGTGGGGCGTCTAAACGTGTGTCTGTGTTCTAGAACCTGACGTAGTGTGAATATCTGATCTATACAACCACGTCCAGGTCGAAAACCGGCCTGATTTTCTCGAGTCTGCTCTTCACGAGTTTTGATTAGGCGTCGAAGTATTATTGAAGCTAATATTTTAGACACTATATTAGTCAAACTGATTCCTCTGTGATTGTCACAAGAGGACTTTTGTCCTTTCTTATAAACTGGCACAATCAGTGATTGAGACCAGTCAGATGGGATTACGTCCAGTTCCCAAATTCTACCTAAGACCTCGGTTAATCTCATTGCTAATACTGGACCACCATCCTTAAAAATCTCAGGAGTAAACCTGTCAGGGCCTGCTGCTCTCCCTCGTTTCAGATTTCCTATGGCTTTTTCAACTTCATAAAGAGACGGAGGACCTACATTAACTTGCCATTCAGGTTGACTGGAGATCGTGGGAAACCGAAGTGTGGCTGAAGGCCAGTTGAACTGATCCCTAAAGTGTTCTGCCCATCGATCCAATCTCCTGGATTGAGAATGAATAATATGTCCATCTTTCTCTGAGATTGTTTCGCTAACAGTCGGGTTCCTAATTCCGGTTTCCTTAACGAGTCTAAACAATTGTCTGCTATTACCTATTGCCGTTGCCTTTTCCATCTCTCTTGCTTTCGCTACCCACCACTGTTCGCGATCATTGCGTAGACTTCTTGTCAGTTTGCGCTTAAGCTGACTCCGCTCTTCACTATGTTCAGAGCCAGGTGGAATGAGTTTCCGAGCATCTATCAGTGCGATAGATGCTGCTGAGATCCAGTGTTGCTCCCTAACCTTCTAGTTTACCTTACTCACTGCTGTTTCCACAGCTTTTCGGATATCATTCCATGCTGCCTCGGGGTGGGCATCACATACGTGGCTGCCTAACTGTTTTCCTAGTTGTTCCTGAAATATACTCTTAGCTTGACTATCATTAAGTAGGCCCCTAAGAGGTTTCCTTGCAGCGGTTTTCCTACGTCCAGTAAGACGCAGGCAAATACGCGCTCGTACTAGAGCATGATCTGAATCTAGGCATGTGCTCCAGAATGAGCGACAGTCTTCTATCGAGCCCCTCCATCGGTGGCTGATAGCGATGTGATCTATTTGGGTCCAACGTTGGGACGAATTAGGGGGTCGCCATGTTAAAAGATGTTTTTCCTTATGCTTAAAGTTAGTATTTGCAAGGAACAGGCGGTTATCTGAGCATAGCTGCAACAGACGGTCGCCATTATCTGTTCTTTGAGCCACTATACTATAAGATCCACCCAGGTGTCTTTCCCTATCGCTTAGTTTACCTACTTGAGCATTAAAGTCACCGGCCACTATTACTACATCCGAGCGCTTAGCTTTTCGGAGAAGGTCCGAAAGCTTTCTGTAAAACTCATCTTTTACATCATCTGAGCTGCAGTCAGTGGGAGAATAGGCAGAGATGACGAAGAGGCAACGACGAGTGTCCCTATCTTTCCGGATTCTTACTGTTCCGTTCAGTCGGACAGCGCACAAACGACTGTCTACTGGGATCCACTCTAAGAGAGCTAGTTCTGCCTTAGGACTCAATGCTACACCTACGCCGGCGAGTCCACGGGAAGCAGAATCAGGGCTTCCAGATACACGAAGCGTAAATCGAGTCGGTTCTTTATTTTGGCATGGTGAGGTCAAATGAATGATGCTACTTGGATCTTGTATGCGCGTTTCGGAGACGCAACACACATCGATGGCGCGAGATTCTAAAGTCCTAGCTAAGGAAGCCTGCTGTCCTATTTGGCACAGTGTTCGGACGTTAAAAGCTCCTACGTGTAGTTTAGTGCGTGGTTTGAGGAGACCAGGAATAGAGTTCCACGTACTCGAATCGTTTGCCCTACCGGTGCGAGGTAATACAGAGACGTGAGGAGGGTTAGTCATGGAGATAAGAGAGGTATTAGAAGGTGTAGGAAGGATTTGAATGTGACCAACTTGGTCTCGCGTGCTGTTACGGGTATGAGGGCTGATGTCACTTCCCGGCTGCCCACACCGTGGAAGGGTATTTCTTAAGGAACCTGAAAAGGAAATTGGATTAGTGTTGGTCTTAACGACCTGGGAGCGTGACCGCAGAGCCCAAGGGACAACTGCTTGAGGCCGGTCGCGCACGGCCTTTTTGTAGAAGGTTTTTGACGTGTTAGCTCCGTTCTTCAAAGGGCCTTACCGCCGGAGACGGAAATCCGTGAGGTAAGGTGAGGTGTGACATTTTTAGAGTCGACCTTTTCTAACACCACCCCTCCTTGTGGGAAGGCAGCATCGCTGTCATGCTGATTGTCCGAAGGAAACACCTTACTGCTGTCACACCTCTGTACAGTCAGCAGTACGACTTCGCCCTCAGACTTTGAGTTGCTGCTTTTAGTCTTACCGTTCACCAATCGACCTGCCTGGCATGGTAGAACCTACAGGAACATATGTTCCAGCCAATATAGCTCGGATGGGTCATCACGATAGGCAAGCCCGACCACCACGTCAAGGTAGCAGCTTCGGTCGGGATAATTTGAGAGCATGAATACAGTGTCCCAAGGTCGGCTACTTGAGGCCGGTCACACACGGCATTTTTGTCAGTAGCTATATATGTGTTAGTTCTGTACTTTTAAAATCTTACCATCGGAGACGGACACTCGTGGGGCAAAGTGAGATACTCTATTTTCAGGGTTGACCTTTTCTAATTCCTTCCCTCTGATATGGGGAGAAAGTATTGCTTCGAGTGCCGGTTATCTGAGAGAAATCTCATTACCGTCACACTCCTGTATAGTCTGTAATATAACCTTCCCCTTGAACTATGGGTTCGCTACTTATAGACTTACCGCTCTCCAACTAGCATGGCTAACATGTTAAGACTCAAAAAAATATGCCTTTCAGTCAATATACCTTGTCTGATTCACGACGACTTGGAAAACTGACTACCATGTCATCATAGTAGCTACGTTATCAGTAATTCTTGAAATGATTTCAATCTACGATGAAAAATACCTTTGAACTATTTATACAAACTTTCTACCTTAGTCATAACCGTATGGTCAATTATGACCCCCCAGGGTCAGGATTGGTGTATTCTCTAACTTCTAACTAAGAGAAAGTTTGAAGGCTTAAAGCGAACTCAAATATTATCTAGAAAAAACGCTGAGACTCTTAACTTATATACAAAATATTTAATTATGAAAGTATGGTCAGTCAGATAGCAAATAACCTATTAGTATATAAATGATAAATAAAGTTTTCTGTTCATCACATCATCAATGATAATGATATGATTTGTCCTATTGTAATTATTAGTAAGGTTGTTGAGTTATTTCGTTTGTTGATATTCAGTATTGAGAATTACTAATCAGTTTTTGTTGAAATTTACACAAGTAAAAGGTACTTGATATTCGAGTCTTAATATGAACTGTCAACACCTGGGATGAAGGTACATATCCAAGTGACGAGTTCCATATAGGACTAAATATATCGATTGTTAGCATGCAACCTATCTATTTAACTTATGTTTTGTTATATTTTATATATGCAAACAATGTTTGTTTTCCTTTTACATGTTTTTGTTTTCTTAAAGGCATATGAAAAAGGTGTTGCATTATTTCGTTGGCCAAATGTTTACGATATATGGGCTACTTATTTGTCCAAGTTTATTGAACGTTACGTAAGTTTTTTGCATTAGTACATCAATATAATGTAAAAAGTATTTGCTGTGTTGAGTAGATATATATTAACAACTAAAGAATTCGTAAAAGCCAAGGATAAACTGTCTCATTTCAGTGTGCAACTTCTTTGTAGTGTTCATACGTTAATCGTCATATTAAACAACAACTAACTAGGATCTTTTGTAAAGGGAGGGGTTATAATAATTTGTCTAGTTAATATGAAAATTACTGTGGAAAATCATCTTTATATCCTCAGAAGATTATAAGAACATGTGTATTAAAATGGAAGGTCCTTGTTATGTAGAAAGACTAATTAGGGTAATATCACTGAAGAGAACTATGAGGTCGTTGATTATTACTATGCCTAAATAAAACATTAACAGTACAAATTGAAAATAATGAGGCTAATGGTTAGTAGACAATAATTTTGGGGGCAGAGAAATATGTAACAACAACAATCCTGCAGTCAAATGGACGAGTATAAAACCAAATGCCCTTGTATGGCCGACAATGGGGAGAGTTCATCCTCCCTCTCCAAATGCTCCCACATAGCCACGTGTATACAACCACTGACAGAAATTTTCTATTCACTGCCTCCTCGCGGCAATAGTGTTGTTTACAGAATTCAGAGAATGAACAGTGAACGTTCAAGTTGGTCTGTATATGGAGGGTCCACCTAGGGGAGTTGGGAAACCTAGACTCCAAATCATTAGTGCACATGGGCTCCAGTGTCCTGAAGAAACAAATAGCGTATGAACCAATTGTTGGTCACCGACTACCGTGTAACTGCATCTCCTGACATTGCTCCACTACCTTGTGGATTAGACCTTTGAGTCAAATGCTCCGAGTGTATCTCCCTAAGAAAACCACCTGTTCCGGTCTGGGTACTTGGGTAGTATCATCACCCACGCACAAATCAAGTAAATTGTGTGGCGCATATTTATTCGGTTCCCCTTTGTATCAATATCTATATGTTCAAATAATAATAAAATAAACACATTTATCTTCAAAAAGAAACTTAGCTTTCATAGTTTGATATTTATTATATGTTTGTACTGAAAAGTTCTGTTCTCTTCTTAAGGATTACTCACTTATTAGTTCTATCACAAGTGAACTGTACTTGAAAACAATTTTACTCGTGCAATACTTATCTCTAACCACCTTTCTATTCTATCTTTATTACATTATAAAAAGATTTAGAATAGGTTAGAAAAACAGGGCTATATACAACTAAAATTAAGAAATAATATCAGTCTATAAGGATATTAATTATATTGTGCTAAGATCCAGAATTTGTGCTTAACTTTTATAAGATCATTGTAAGCTATGATTAGTAACTTTTGTTAACATTTTTTTTGCTTCGGTCAGTGTTTTCTTAAAGTTTCTCACTCCTTGTGCTGATCTAATGCTCTACAATATTTGCTTCAGATTTTACATTGTGTATGACATTCAGTCAGTCATCAACAACGTAGAACTATGTACATATATGCATTGGTTCAAGTTGACATAACTCATTACAACAAGATAAACACCGAATTCATAGAAGCAGTTACTTCAATGGTAGTAAAAAAGAGATTTCATATAAAGATATGATACCAGGAGATAGAGTTAGTTCGTAGAAAGAAAGATATAAAGCAATTTTAATCTCACGGTTTAAGGGAAGACAACGAGTCTATATTACTTACGCGAGAGTGATCGATTCTGAGCCATGTTACTTAGAGTCTCCAACCAAGTAGTCTACATCTACCAATATGACTCAGACCAGAAGTTAATCTATGACACTGACTTCCTAACACTTTTAAGTATACAAAAAGAATGACAGAATTCTTATTGTTAAACATTTTTTTATTGTTCATTTATTCACATTTAATTACCGGTAATAACTCTAAATCATTGTATTCATCATCATTATCATTATATATATATATATATATATATATAGGGTGGAAATAAATTGGAACGTGCTCGTGATTTATTTGAACAATGTTTAGAGAAATGTCCACCGAAATATGCTAAAGGTATGAAAGTGAACTCTAAATTTCATCCATATTATTATTATTATTATTATTATTATTATTGTATATGTAATCTGTCTCTGTTTACTTAATGCATAAACTACTAGTCTTTAAAAATGAGCTATTATAGTTTTATAATTGACCCTGATTCGGTTTGGGCATCCGGGCAATATCACAGCCCTCACATATATCGAATGAGATTTTTGTGGCGCATATGTATTTGGTGCCTCTTTGTACCAATATCTATGTGTTAAAATAAAATAAATCAATAAATATAATTGACATTACAGAGTGTTCGTTGTTAGATAATGGTACATAACTCCATTGTGAATTAAACTCATGATTGATTGGGACTGTTGTTCGAGCATAATGTTGACTGAGGTTGTCCATAATATTTTCATTATTCAGTAATTGTGTTGTTTCTTGCTTTTTGGCCTATATTTCCGTTCATTACCGATTTCACTTCATAGCCTAACCTTCCAAGGTGTTGGGTTTACACTACACTACACTACACTACACTACACTACACTACACTACACTACACTACACTACACTACACTACACTACACTACACTACACTACACTACACTGGATATATTCATTTCAGATAGTTACATATTGCTTCAGTTAATCGATTTCAAATCTTTAATGAAAATTACCCTCCATTATTGCACAGTAAATTGACAAAAAAATGTCCATGTATGTTAGATATCATACAATAAGCCAATTTAGTATCGGTCAAAGTGTATCCGAAGTATCCATCAACGTGATTAAGAAATCAGCCAAAATGATAAAACACTTGGGAGATTCACCAATGACTATTAGTATTTGTGATGAATAAATTAGAAAATGTATGAGCATTTTGGCAAAATTTTAAAATTAGGCATAAACACAAGCATAGTCGGTTTCCATTTCCATTCATCGGTACCTACTACTTGTTAGTATTTAAATCCCAGTGGAAGAATTTTACACGTTACATGGACACGCAGGTCAGGGGAACCATGCACTCCAAAGCACATGTATAGACGTGAATCCAGTCCCCTTAATAGTTTCCGTTTTTATGTAGATATACGTCGTGTATATACCTGAAAGACATAGATCCAACCGATCTGACTCTCATAGGATATACATAAGCGCAGATACTCTGCACACTGGAAGTGGAAGTCACCGAGTTGCATCATGTGGCAAGCGCTAGCTTGTAATCCTGGAGGAAAACGGAAAAAAGAAAGGTCAAAGAACGCAGCGTTTCGGAGATTGGAAGCAGACATCAAAAGAACGAATAGCAACTGGAAAGGATTGCCCAAGACAGACTTTAATGTATAATACTGGTGGGCCGGTCTATACTCCTACACGGCGGGTAACAGGCGTGTTAATAAGTGTTGGATAAAATTGGATGGGTCCGATCTTACCATAAAGTCATGGATAAGACGGAATTCTTTTGAATTTTTTCATTAGTAACTGGTAATATTTTGTTCAGGTTATATGTTGTATCTATGGTTATAATTCTGTCTGATGACTTTCTTAAAAAAAATGTATTTATTTATCTATGGATGTATGTTTTTCAGCGTTACATTTATTGTATGCTCGACTTGAAGAACAACATGGACTTGCACGTCGTGCTATTCGTATTTATGAACGAGCTACAGAAGCTGTTCTTCCAGAAGAAAGATTTGAGGTGAATCCCTTTCTGATGAAACTGTCAATTATAAATATCACAGTATCTTGTAATTTATTTATTTATTTAAACACATAAACATTGGTACAAGGCGGCACCAAATATATATGCGCCACATAAATTATTCGATTTGTATGAGGACTGGGATACTGCCCAGGTGCCCGAACCGAAGCAGGTGGTTTTCTTAGGAGGCCACACCCTGAGCCTTTGACCTTAAGGTCTCACCCACAAGGCAGTGGAGTATCGTGAGGAGATGCAGTCGCATGGTAGCTGGTGACCAACGATTGGTTCATACGCCATTTGTTCCTTTAGGATACTGGTGCCAATGTGCATCATTGGTTTGGAATCCGGTTAAAGCGTCGGACATCCGCTTTTGTAATTTACGGGATTGCGAATTGATTTTAATAAATTTTGTCAATGATTTTCATCACAAATTGATGTTAAATAGTTCATTGTAGACTAACTAGTAGTCAAAATAATTCAATCAATTTCATTTTGGGACTTTCTAACCACGTCTACCTATGGTTGCACAAAAGAATGACTACTTATCTACAAGTTCTTGCAACTCTAACATCAAGGTTAAAATTTAAGTGCATGCTTAAACTGTACTTTACCTGGGTTTTTTCTCGGATCTGCGCCGCTTCACTAACAATCACAAAATATATATGACTGAAATCTGATTATGTGAACCTTTGTCCTTAGTTACTGAATAACTAAATGGATTCTGGTGAAACCGGAGGTTTTAATGCGAAAGCAAGAACTATAATATCAACCATTTCTCCACTATGTAAGAGATATTGAGACGATTGCCACTGACAGATATAGGTCACAATCATGCTATATTGTGAGTTGAATGAAGTTAGAAATATAGACTATTAAATTCCAACACTTCTAAATTTTCATATCGTAAACGACACTGGTTTTAATTCCAAATTGGTTCGGTTGTTTACTCACTACTGTGTAGTTTCACATCATTGTTTTAAGTGGTTCCTCAGTTAGTGGTAGTTCATATTAAAAAGTATCTTTTCTAATCCAAGCATTGCTTGACAGTTGTAACATAATTTTTGTATTGTTCTTTTGAAAATTCTTTACAGATGTTCAATATCTATATTCAACGTATTGCCGATCTTCATGGTGTTACGCATACACGTTCAGCGTATGAACAAGCAATAGAACGTTTACCTGAAGAACATTCGCGTAAAATGTGTTTAAGATTTGCTGATCTTGAAAGAAAATTAGGTGAAATCGATCGAGCACGAGCTGTTTATGCTTATTGTGCACAAATGTGTGATCCTCGAGTAAATACAGTACAAAATATTCATATGATTAACATGCTACTGATTATTTTATAAGTAGTTTAAGACCATTTATTGTTTATTTTTATGATAAAACTGCATTAACGGTCTATTTTCTTGATTATGAGGACTTTGATACTTTTTGTTAACATAGTTAACAATCTGAAAAGTGTACATGTACGTAACTACAATTCTTCTTCATGAAACTACCAAGCGATTGTGAAACTGACATAATAATGTTTTCGATTGATGTATAAATGAATGTATGCCATGCTAAACCTTGACTTCTTAAAGCATTTGAAATATGTTTTATTTGAATTCACATATTTATTTCTGTAAACTCACGTACTTTCATGAACCACTGTCTGTGGAATAGTCAAATGTAGTAGAAAGTCTCAGATCACTGAGGTTTGAAGTGTAAGCCGCTTCATTCATGGTGTTATATCCTTAAAGTAACGTTGGCATCGTGTAAATAGGTCTTATTGTATGGCAGAATATGAAAATAAATAAGTAATTAGACAATAATATCCGTTTACAAATAGATTCAGTTCATGGAAGACTGAAAGAAAAGAGTTACAAAACTTGTTAAACTTATATTTTACGGATCCTGTAATGAATAGATATTTGAGTATTTTATGATAGAAACTGTTTACAGATAAATCAGTTCTGTGTAAACCATTTAATGATACAGTTACTGTATCAATTTGCTTTAGTCAATACTATCCACAAAGATACTTTAAGAGTATGACTGCATGTTTTCAATATATATGTTCTCTGACCTCTTCTCTGGTAAAAAAGAAATTCATAAATCAACATTTCTACCACGTTGCTCATAATTATTTCCCTCATTTTTCTTCATATAGACTGAAACACAATTTTGGCAAATATGGAAAGAATTTGAAGTAACACATGGTAATGAAGATACTCTACGTGAAATGTTACGAATTCGACGTAGTGTACAAGCAACTTATAATACACGTGTTAGTTTTGTTGCAAGTCAATTACAATTGAATGAAGAAAATCCAATAACAAATGGTAAATAATTTATGTTTTCTTTTTATTTCAAAATATTTCATAGAGGATTAATTCAGTAGTACATCATATACATTGGTTTTTTTTAGAAATGGATTTTGTAGAGATTTTGGTAATTTTATAGTTGAGTTCATGAGTCAATTATAGCTAGACCACCGTGAAAAACCTGGAAGCACCGGACAGCTGGGACTTCTCAGCAGTGCGCATCCACGATATGATTGGTTGAAGTTAGACATTAACACCTTTAGATGCCGGCTCAGTGGTCTAGACGTTAAGCGTTCGTGCGCGAGACCTATAATTCCTGGGTTCGAATCCCACGAGCGGAATCGTGGATGAGCACTGTTGAGGAGTCCTTTACTAAGAATAAATGGCCGTCCAGTGCTTCCAGGTTTTCCTTGATGATCTAGCTTGAGTCGATTCATGAACTATAAAATAACATTGATTTTTGTTGAGTTCATTGAGAAGAGGTGTGTTTGATGGTTGAATAGTTGTACTTATCTGATCCTAAGTTATAATTAAATTCTTTCGATGAAGATATAAAATATCTATACTAGTTCAAATAACATGACATATCTTATATTTTGTTTTGATTGTTGTTTATTAGATGAGATTAGAAACAAGCTGAAAGACATTTATTAGTTTATCTTGTCTAAAATTTTGAAATGAAAATGCTCTTTTTAAGATATTGAAATGCATATCATTCATTACTTTATAATCACAGATGTTGTAGTGAATGAGAACACAATTTGGGGGGACTAATCGAATGTATTTGAACAAAAAATTACAGAACATCTTAGTCAATATCTGAAAATCAACTATACAGTAAATTCTTCATTTGCAAAATATCAATCAATTGTCTCAAACTTTTACTGTTCCTTTTACAAATTGTGAATCAACCGTCTCAGAATTCATTGATCTTTCGTTCCCATACCAAACATTCTCTGTTCTTGTTCTGTTTCTTTCAATCTTCTTAACCTTCTACTACCAGATATTTCACTTTCGATTGATAATATATACTACTTATATTTGTCGACATGAATAGCACAGACCATGATGTTACTACTACAAAGCTTCCTGTTGTTTACCTTCATCTACTTAAAATCAAATCTCTATTTGATTATCGTTTACTAGATTAATGTATTTGTTATCATACAGAGCACTTTTTAGATCTTTAGAAAGTCTAATAAAGTTTACTAGTTTTGTAAACTTGACACATCTAATATTCTAATAGCATAATTTATATCCTATAATTTCAGAATGCAAACTTCAGCTTACTTGCATATTTGCACTATTTGTATATAGTGAATATAAGTTTATTTTATTAATCCTGATTACGATAATACTATATGCATGAATACTTTATCCCTCCAAATGCCCTGATACGGCCAAGAGTGGGAAGAGTCAGCTCTTTCGCTCCAAATGTTCTCACATAGACACGCATATACAACCACTGACAGGGAAGTCCTACTCACTGCCTTCTCGCGGTACCGGTGTTGTATATGAAATTGAGAGGATGAGACGCAAATATCGAGGGCTTAAACCGGGTCGGTGGATATGGAGGATCCATCTAGGGGAGTTGAAAAACCACAATTCCAAACCAATGGTACACATGGGCTCCAGTATCGTAAAGGAACAAATGACGTATGAACTAATTGTTGGTCACTAGCTACGATGGAATTGCATATCCTTACGTTGCTCCACTGCCTTGTGGATCAGACCTTTATGTCGAAGGCTCCGAGTTTGGCCCCCTTAGAAAACCACATGCTTCGGTCTGGAAGCCCGGGCAGTATTACAGCACTTACATAAATCGAATGATTTATGTAGTGCATATCTAATTGGTGTCCTCTTGTACCAATGTTTATGTGTTTAAATAATAATAATAATAATTCAATTGATTCATTTTTCTACTTACAATATTTGAAATGATGAAGAAGATTAGTGGCTCAGGTGTGATGATTTAAGTAGAGTTTTGTTCTCTAAGCTGGATAGTTGGTCGTGGAGCTTTATACCGGTGATATTGTTCGGAAGAACAATGAAAACACCATGACCAAATGCTTTAGATCAGAGAACAAAACTCCATCTAAAATGACTCTATCATATATGTACATGTCTGTGGAATATTTCAATTCATGAATTAACTTAATTTTTTCTGTATTGAAATATTAACAAATTAATGTTCAACTTGTTAGCTTTCGTGGAATAAATAAACTAGAAATATGAAATCATCAAATATCTTGGAAATGCTGTCCTACTATCTTATTGTTATACTGAATAAAGCCGTTAATAATAATAATAATAATAAAGTATCAGTCATAGATACTGTTATAACTTGTGATTTTGTGCCCTATTAATGTATAACCTAGTGATACGGCCAAATAGAGAACAGTGACTTATCAACTGGATCAATGAATCTGTACGAGTAGTTTAGATTTCTTATCGGTCCTTCTTCCTGCCTAACCCTACCTATTAGAGTCCAGAACACCAATCTCAGACTCTGCTATGAATCATGTATTTTAAACGTACAAACCAAACAGACCACATCATACCATAAAATAGGAAACAACATTTGTACAAGAATTAGCCAGAAGTGGCTATGAATGTGGGAGATAGTAATAGATAGACTGGGTATAACTCAAGTCTATTAAATCATATAATAACAGACTGTAGGTCAAAATAAAGTTTATAATAAGAAGAACATGAATATGAATAGTTTAGTTACTTAACAATTATACAATAAAAATATACTCATAATTATTGATCCAGAAATAGATTCCCACAGTTACCATTCATTATTCTCATCGGGATATAACAGATACATGAACCGTATACTTTATACTCCTCATCATTTTTTGTTGACTTCCACTACTCTGTATTATTGTACTATTCTTTCGGACTAGATACTGCATTGTTTTGTAGCTGTTGATGAACTAATGTGGTATGTGCTACTTATATTGACATAAGTAGTATATGATGTTAGTCGTGAACAGAATGTCTGGCAGCAGAGAAACAAAGAGAATCGATCAGTAAATAATGGAAACAGAATGTAATTTGTATGAAAATGCAAGAATAATAAAGTCTGAGTTATTATGAGACAATTGATAGACATTTTGCAAATTACGTACTTACTATTTGATTGTTAGATTTTATTAATAAGTCCTGTAATTTTGTGTCAAATACATTCGATGGTCCCCACTGGTGTTCTTGTTCACTACATTATTATAGAGAGTGTCATGAATTGAGTGAATCTTCTCTATTGTTATTAGAATCTGTTCAAATCTGTCTTCTTAAGGATAATCATTATTCTATTCATATAGTATCATATAATGCATACCGGTTATGATCATCTTGATAAAATTCCTTAACTATTGACTTTCATTCCATTATCATTATTCTTTTCTTTTCTTATTTTTTTTTTTGCTTTTAAAATAATCAATCAATATTTGTGTGTATATAGCACCAAAAGATGAAATGCAAAAATTAGATAAATCACAAACAGAAATTAATATTATAAGTACCAAAAGTAGTTTAACTTGTGGTCGTCCTATGGTACAATTTCAATCAGCTGGTATAAAACAATTAGGTTTAATGAATGAAAAAGATGATAAACAACAAAAAGCTAGTGCTAACATTGAAGAGATTGATATCAATGTTGATGAAGGAGAAGAGGAGGAGGAGGAGACCGATGATGATTCAATGGGAGAACAAGAATTAAAAGAAACAATAAATGAAGATAATATTGAATGTAAAGTATCTAATAAACGACGAAGAAAAGCTCATCCAGATGGTAAGCTCGTTATTTAAATCAATTGTTGAATAAATGAATTTTAGATATTTGTGGTAATTTATTAGAAGTAATTGCAAAGAAATCATTGATCTCATGTTAGTTGACACTCCTCATTAACGTGTATATATATATATTCGGAATCTCGGTAGAATTCATGCTCTAACCGGAAGATTCCACGTCTTATTTCACTCATTATCTTTTAGACAAAGGAACTGATTACCGATGGACGGAATTTCATGCATGAACTGTGTTGTTCATTTATATCTGAATTGAAGATTTCATGTCGACTGGTCCCAACTGCTTATTTATTTCTCCATTACAATAATAGTAATTAATGAAAGAGACGGTTGGATGAAAGTTAGGGGTGGTCAAACCAAAACGTGGCATCAGTCATTGAAGTCACTAAATTCTAGTCTGAACCATGTTGGGAGATGCAGACTACTTGGTTGGGGTCCGCGTGACATGGGATTAAAATTGTTTTATATCTTTCTTTCTACCAACTAATTCTTTCTTCCTGTATTATATGCTTATATGCGATCTTTCTTTTGTATATTACCACCATTGACTTAACTAATCCTATGAATCCGGTGTTCATCTTGTTGTGCTAGCTAATGAGGTATGACAACTTGGATCGATGCAAAGATGTGCCTGGTCCTACGTTGTAACTGACTCAATGAATTAATGAATAGATTTTTATGTTTATTTACCACTAAATATTTGCCACGTTTGAAACGATTACAAGTTCGCCTAGTCTGAGAACAGAAAAAAGTCTCTGTGACTAATGACCAAGAAGCTACCTATTCTGATGCGTCTCAGCCCCGCTAAATAGAGAGTAAAGTCTAAGTTCGAAATGCGGAAATATATTCCGCAAGTAGCCAGAAGCACAAATCAAATGTAGACATATACAGCATAAAATTGTCCCTCGGATGTGTTATAAAATCACATACTAAAAGATACAACAAACCAATAGCATTTAAGATCCTCCCAAGTAAGTAATACAACGAGAAGGTGAAAATAAGCGTTTTTTTGGCATGAAAACAAGGGAATTCAAATGTTTAAAATGAAATAACAAAAATAAAATAGTTGCCAAGTGAGTTCTCCAGGGGATCTAACATTCTCAACAATATTCAAACAAAATTATCATGTTGTTGTTATATTCATTCATTCATGGCTCAAAATCGATTGCAATGGCGCAGGTGCATACACTCTTTGTGTTCTCACAAATTTTAATCTAATGATTCCTCCTTGTCTCTTTTCTCTTCGCAAATTTATTTCACTGTATTATACTCTTTAAATAACATCTCCAAACCCTAATCTTCCTGTACTACCTCTACCACTACAGGATTTTAATTGACCACTGCATCTCTGTGCTAATGTGGTATGGCAACTCGGACTGATGTACGTACATACGGAGTTCTACGTTGTTAATGACTGACTGAATGTTATATTCATTATCAAAAAAAGAAAAAGATTTACTATTTATTTATTTATCATACTATACATTTAGATATTGATATTGAAAATCAACCTGTTCCATTGGCGGTATTTGGTAGTTTAAAGAAGGCCGATGATGATGATGAGGACAGTTGATAATTGACATCATGTATACATTATTCTTTTATTATTATTACACTATTGTTTGTGTACAGTAGTTTATCATTCTGAAATGAGATTTATTTTGAGAAAAAAACTGTGTGCATGCGTGTGTGTGTGTACGTGTCTGTATATGCGACCATTGTACATTGAACACATTGTGTATATTTGACTTTTCAATGTTCATTATCCACTATAATAATGTGTATTACATTCATTTCAAATAGAAATATTCTTCTTTTGTTTTATTGTTTAAATAAATGGATTTCTATGCATAGTACTGAATATTTTGCATAGAGTAATTAGTACATTCTTAAATGGAATCAATATCTGATATATTAAGATAATGTAGGTCATGAATATAATAAATGAATACAAGCATTTGATTGTATATAGAATTAATTTGTAGTTAGCATTTCTTCTAGCAAGTTAGTTTTCTACGGGATGGGGTCGCTAACTCCATACTCAACTCTCTTTTATCTGGGCTTGGAACCGGTAGTATCTCCAGAGGGGCTCCAGGCAGAGTTAGGGTTAGGACACACATTGAGGAAAGTTCCCAAATGCGTTGCAAGACAAACCCTCACATGAAATCTTCAAGGTCAAAAGAAAAGAGGAAGAACATAGAACACATTACGTCGAGAAATGGAGACAGACATGAGAAAAATTGGATAGAACTGAAAAGGAAGGCCCAGAACAGAGTGGGGTTGGAGAATGCTGGTCGGTGGCCTATGCTACACTGGGGGTAACAGACGTAAGTAAGAATTAATCTTAACATGAAATAACATTGAAAGGAAAGAGAATTGAAAAACTGCTTCATTTTGCTATGTTCGTTACTTGATTAACACAGAATACCGTAATATAACTACAACACTCAAACGTATAGAAACCTACAGTCGCAAAAAAGTCAGAATACAGAAGCTGGAGAAGTGTTTGTTCGGTAAGAATCAAAATGTACGGGAAATCATGCGTATTTATAGGTATTAGCGTTTGTTATAAAAACGTCATAATCCAGTCAACCCATGAAGAGGCATGTAATGCTAATGGTAACATGCCACGTTGATATCCTAGAAAGCTCCATCACGTTCTGATTAAATGGGAACTCTTCGACTTCGTTGTAGTTTTCGGAAGCCGTCTCAACACCTTTTAGTTCAACGTTCGTCAATGTGATAAATGAAATTCTAACATCTTGATAGCTATGAGTTAACCAAATAGAACAAAGATATCTCCGTATATACTTAGCATGAATTGTAAAGTATACTGATAGATAACTTGTATACTGTTATTAAGATGATGATAATTAATCCTTGAAATGCCCAGAATCAATAACCGAAATTGTAAATTTAAAATGATTCTTAACCTAAACGACAAGACATACCTTCTGTTTAGGCGATTTGTATGTTAAAATACCATCCGAACTCTTAATATATGGAAATGACGTTTCTCCTTTTGATTGATTATTTGAACCAACACTGTTACTTTACTCTCATTTTATCGCCATTTATAGTTAGTTGTTTGGTAAATATTCAAAGTTTCCTAGTTGTCTGAGAAGTCTCCCAAGGTCGTCAGCATACTATGCATCTATCAGACAGGGGTTTTTATGAATATTATAGTAATTTAATGGTTGAATTCATGAATCATTTAAAGCTGTTTCACCATGGAAAATCTGGAAGTATTGGACGGCCGTTTCGTTCTAGTTTGGGTCTCTTTAGTAATGCGTATCCACGATCCCGCTCTTGGGATTCGAACTTGTCATACTTTTACCGAATAATGTACTAAATATATGAAAGTCAGAAGCTTTAAGTAACTTTATACTACTTAGTTGATTTCTACATACCCGTCTGATCAGTTTTATTTTTTTCTGTAGTGTAAAAATCGAAAATTTTAAATACACGACGTTGTAGCTGAGCTTCTCTGTGCATGTCTCAGGAAATACATATCGTTTATTATTAAAGGCGGTTATATATTGATCACGGTGTGTTGATTATATGATGTTATGACATTAAAACGATTTCACTGGTGTTGTTGACTGGTCGAAATGTCAACTAGAGTTGTAGTTGTCATTCTTAATTTGACAAAGTAGCCCTTTTTTCAAATATAGAAGTACACTTCTGATACTTGCTAAACTCAAATAATAATTGAAAGACTAATAGATTAGTGAGATTTCTTGTTGAACAGTGATAATACTGATGACTTAGATTTGTATTGTATGGGTGAGACGAAATAGTTACTGGTTAATATCCTAGACAGATTGGTATATAGTCTCACAGATATTTGATGTACCATATATGTTCCCCTACACCTTATATTTACTTTAATGTTGGCTAATATACGTACTAGTCAGAGGTATTGCATGTTCTTCATTTGAGTTGTGTGGGTTCCTGATATATTAAACCTGGCTGGTATCTAGTATATAACTAGTGAGCCGTATATGTAGATAAGTCGTTCGTCCCAAGTACTTTAGTATGCTGTTTGTTTAGTGACGGATCTACGTTCGTTTATCTAGTTAAAGTGGATTTTTTTATCAATAAAATGAATAGTCTGCAATCCTTATAGCAACAGTAAAATGATCTGATTGAATTGTTGGTCAAGAATATGTCGACATCTTCAATGATCTTTGTGTCCAGTTCGACTACGACTTTGGATACCATTGCAAATTCAATAAGTAAATTTATGTTTAATCGAGAGGGTGGAATAACTTTTGATGCATGGTTTAAGCATCATGAGGATTCATTTATGAATGATTGTAAAAAGTGGGATGAAGGCTGAGAACAGATTATTGCGAAAACGTGAGGTTTCTGAACATTAAAAGTTTCGTAATTTTTATTTTTCCGAAGAAGCCAGGTGACCTAACCGTCATGGAAACAGTAGTACCTGACACGTATATTTGGAGAACGATCATCCATTTTTATATATAGATTTCAGAACACATATTTCAGAGAGGAACGATGTAGATCCCAGTATCACTGTACAATGTTGGGGGGATGGTGGATTTGAAGCACGATACACATTTGATAGAGAGTAACTGTGCACATGCAGGAGTTGATGTATTGAGAAAGTCTTCCATGTGTGTAGTAAAATTAAGCAAACAACTGCTGACTTTCAGCATGAGCTTCATAAGGAAAACCTCACTAGAAATTCCACGTAATTCTAATGTTGTTCTAGCCATACAGGGTACTCAACTCTCGTTGAACAGAAAACACGTAACTGTTTACTTTAATGGAAACCGGTTAAGCTGCGAGTAGATACAGGATTCTGTATAACAATAGTTTCTAGAGAGACTTCGATAAAACTTAACCGACAAAAATTTCAACCTACGCCTTCTAATGATAATGTTAAGTTACTGTAATAGTATAAACTGGACACTTGATTGTAGAAACATAATGAAGAGCAGCTGATTGAAGAGGAATATTTATTCACCGTTTTGTTTTCTGAATTTCTTAGTGTGAATAATTTCCTCACATATAATTTATTGAAATACGTCTTTGCGCGTACACCCAAATTGGTGTAGACAGTTGATGATAACGTTACTTGTGAAACAGAAATAAGCTAGTTTAGCAACGATGAGTTCTCCTTTAAGTGAAAGTCTTTATCCTGTTATTAATGGGGCTAGCAATTTTATTATCGCGGAAGAAGTTCGACGAATATATATAAATACGTCAAGAAGAATGATTATTTGTCGTACAATATCTTTTGATCTTTACAGTCGAGTGTGAATTGGTGGATTAGAAGTAGACCAACTTCTTAAAACTACGTGTAAAGATAAGTAAGCAGAGACAACAGTAGTCAAGTTGGTGCATACCTTTCTGACGAAAAATATCTCAAGCTAACACTTTCTGAGCATGATCCATAATAGTTTTCTTTTAGCCAGTTATTCACTGTTTACGAAATCTTTGACACAATACCATTACCTACTTGATAACTTTCCCACTGGCAACTAATTGGAGACCCCCTATAACTACTTTCCCAGAATCTACATGATGGACTGCCGTTTAGTTAGACAACTATTGAAAACTAGAAAGAGCTAGATAGCAATATGAGGTCATGGATAAGTACGTACTACCAACAAGAGAGAACAGTCTATTCAATGCTTTCTGGTTTTCAATATAGCTGTCTAACTAAAATCAATCCATAATGTATTACACTATGAAAGTTAAACACTCCCAATAAATCTTTCATACGAATACGTTTTCTTTTCGTTGATTAATCTAGGTGAAAGTATAGAAACGAAATGTATTTCCTTGTCTTATATTTTATAGAAAAATATACATCAGAATGACATATACATATTTGTGCTCATTTTTTTCTGGTCAACCAGGGTGCTAGGTACCTGTGTGGTTGCGCCACAGGATTGAGCTGTACTATTCAGATTGTAGCGTTAAAGCCTATACGGTGCCTGGTTCTCCTGTTAAACGGGGTTGAGCTGTAATGTTTGGGTTGTCACGTGAAAATCCGGATGGTGTTTGGTTTTCCTGAAAACCAATGTAAAATTACCCTGGCCCACAAGAGTATATTATATAACTGTGGGCCCCCAAATCTCCTGGTACGGCTGAGAGTGGGCAGAGTCCGCTCTCCCCTCGAAATGCTCTCACACGGCCATGCGTATAAAGCCTCTGTCAGGGAAGTCCTACTCACTGCCTTCTCGTGGTGGGGGTGTTGTCTACGAAAATGAGAGGACGAAACAGCAAATGTCCGGCGCTTTAAACGGATTCCTTTAGGTCAAAGACTCGGGGTGTGGCCCCCTAAGAAGACCACCTGTTTCGGTCTGGGCACCAGGGCAGTATTACAGCCCACATACAAAAGTGTGGTGCATATATATTTTGTGCCCTCTTGTACCAATATTTATGTGTTCAAATAAATAAATAAAAACAGAGATCACCATGAATATTAAAAGTTAAATAACAATCATAGTGATATTAATGATGCATAGAATGATTATGTAATAAAGAAATTAAAGAATAAATGGTACAATTGCTTTTCGATTTTTTGGAAAATCTGTAAATTCACGACGATACGCTTTCAATTTATTAATAGCCCATACACTCATTTGACGAAATCCACAAATAGTAAATATAAGAGCTAGAAAAAATGAGAAAATTAACAATTTAAAGTGTTCGAGGATTTTTCAAAAAAAAAATGTTTTGATATGTAGAATGATTAAACCATGTTAGTAACTAAACAGAGTGTACAATAACTGTGTATTCACCGATGACTAAGCTTTGATCCATAAGTTTCGGATGTCTTGATATCATGAAGACTCAATCGAACTATATCTATTGGAATATATATTCTTTCAAGTCCTACTATACCAGGTAGGTCAGCTGGAGAATAGTATGATTGAAAACAACAAACTCAATCCAGGAACAAATTTGTATTCCTAACTGTACAGGGGCGAGATGGAAGTAACTTGAGTTCATGAGAAAATCAGTATCAATAGGGATGTTACCTTCCCATAACAGAAAGGGTTATAAAAGGTCGAATCTGAAATTAAAACATATCCTCATGTCCTACAGATTTCCACCGCCCACAGAATGGCCTTTCGGAGTACGAGGTTAAGATATCCTAAAATTATTCACAGAGAGACTGACCGATCCTAGGCACCTGTTATTTTTGAACTGTGACCACTTAGTCAGACCATCAAGCATATCGGTACCCTATTTTCCTCTTCAAGTACTTGGAATTTTGGAGAGAAACGGAAAAAAGGAAGGCCGAGGAACACACTGCGTCGGGAATTGGAAGCAGATATGAAAAGGATCAACAGTAAATAGAAAGGCTTGCCCAAGACAGAGTTTGACGGAGAATATTGGTCAGAGGCCTATGCTCCTCCATGAGGGGTAACAGGCGTAAGCAAGTAACTTAAAACACATCACCAAATACATTTGGAAGTATAAAATAAATCTGATTGACTAACATTATGTTTAAAGTAAAAAAAATTAGCAACTGACCTGGTAATGTTTGTGTCATAATAGTAAAACCAATCCATGATATAATTTCATAAGTGTAATTAGGACATGCCACTAAATTAAACATCCGAGTACATAACCAACCATCTATCGGATAAGGTATCTGTCGAACTTTTGAACCGGCTGGTCGAAGTCGTTTAAATGCTAAATGACATGAAAAGTTTCCCCATTCGCCAATCTATAGTACGATAAAATGTACACAAATGTGATTAACATCATAAGCACAAATGTATACAGTTGAACACTATAAACTAATGATGCAACACTAAAAGCTCCATTTGAAATGTTTCAAACTAATTTATTTACAAGGCAGTTGAAGAAGAGACACACTAAATGTGAAGTCTAATGACGCTAATCGGTTGCATAAACTAAAGTAGGTAGAGCACAGCTTGAAGCTGGAACTTATTGACCAGAAGTCGAACGTTTAGGGAAAAAACAATTATTTAGTGGTTTCACGAGCTTAAAATCGTAGTCGTCCTCGGTTACAAATCTGTCAAGTTCATTTTGGAAACCCTTTGAACGTCATTGTTCGACAGACTAAGGCACAACAAGTTGGATCTTTAGACAAATGATTAAATAACACTAATTTATACAGTTAATGTTATTATGCTTTCTGTTCAGTTCATATTTCTATATACACATTTATGCCCACTGATAGCTTAATGGTTAAAACAGTAGGGTTACAATGATGCAATTTGAAGTTTGATCCCCGTAACAACTTCACTAACTCTTATATTGAAACTCTGTGGCCCGAAACTGAGTAAATGGAACTGTATTTGATAATGCGGCAACATGGTGGACGAATTTTTAGCTTTATAAGTGAAACTGCGATAAAACTGGCTTTTAGTTCCTGAAAGATTAAGATAATGTATTTCTTTCTCGATAGTTTAATAAGGAGACGAAGATTATCAGGACTATGTGGGCCCCCAAATGCCCTGGTACGGCCGAGAGTGGGGAGAGTCCGCTCTCCTTCTCCGAATGCTCTCACATGGCCATGCGTATATAACCTCTTCCAGGGAAGTCTTACTCACTGCTTTCTCGTGGCGGGGGTGTTGTTTACGAAAATGAGAGGACGAAAAGCGAATGTCCGGCGCTTTAACCGGATTCCAAACCAATGGTGCACATGGGCTCCAGTATCGTGAAGGAACAAATGGCGTATGAACCAATTGTTGGTCACCGGCTACCATGGGACTGCGTCTCCTTAGGATGCTCCACTGCCTTATGGATCAGATCTTCAGGTCGAAGGCTAGGGGAGTGGCCCCCTAAGAAAACCACGTGCTTCGGTTTGGGCACCCGGGCAGTATCGCAGCTCTTACACATATCGAATGAGATTTGTGTGGCGCATATGCATTTGGTGCCTCTTTGTACCAATATCTATGTGTTGAAATACTAATAATAATAGGACTATGTGGAATATTAGCGTAATACATTTCGAACAATCTGATCACACATATACTTGTTAAGAGCATTTATATCTGAAGAATATAAGGTCAACTAGACTAGAAACGGAGGGTAAGAGGAAACAGGGATAATAAAGAAAATACTGTGGAAACAATTTGATACCTTATCACTCTGAATAATAAGCTAATATTACTAGGATAGGTTTAAGGTGGGAACAAACTCTTTTTGAATACCAACAAAGGTTTGAATTTTCGTATGCCTAAGGCTTCAATAAACCTTAGTATACGCACTTTTACATTTGAGATGGTGGAGAAGATTTGTAGCTCAGGTGGATGATTTTGGTGGAGTTTTGTTCTCTGAGCTGGATGGTTTGGTCGTTGAGCTTTCATCGTTCTTCTGAACGACATCACCAGCACAAACTTCAGAGAACAAAACTCCACCAAAAGCACTTTTACATTTATGTACAACACAAAATCAACGGTGATGTATTATGGTTGATAGATGTTTTAGGTGAACCAGTCAGGGTATATGATAATTCTGAAAAAACAAATAACGTATAAACATATTCTTGCTCGCCGACTATTATGGGACCGCAGCTCCTAACGTTGCTATACTGCTTTGTGAATTAAACCTCTAGGTCAAAGGTCTCCTAGGAAATTCACCTGTTTGGGTTTGAGCAACCTGGCAGTATCCTAGTCCACACACAAATCGAATGTTTACGACGGAAAAAATTAATTTCGCTTCAATTAGCATTCTCACCAATTATACTCACAAATATTTGGTAATATTCGTTCTTATTTCATATTGAACCACTTGTCTACTCCTTTTTATTCTCATTATGTGTATTCTTTTTTTTATCATTTTTTAAACAGCAGCTCACCTACGATGGAAATTCCGTCCTACCCAAACGATCTCAAGTGAATGACTGATCGAAAGTTAAATGCTACCACCGAATACTAAGTTTGAGACAGCGTTTCTGGAACTACGTATGCCATCCAAACTGGTTACTTTTAGCGTTCAAACACTAATGAAAATTGAATAACAGATAGCATTGGGTATGTCGTGCTTGAAGACAATAACCTCTAGTCTGAGCCATGTTGGTCGATGCAGACTACTTGGTTGGGGTCCGCGTGACTATCCTAACCGATGGTTGGAGACTCTTGGTGACATAGCGCAGAATCGATCACAATGGCGTAGGTGTATACACTCGCTGTCTTCCCTTAAACTAAGAGATTAAAATCGCTTCATATTTTATTTCTACTAATTCTTTCTTCCTATACTATATCCTGATATGCAAACTTTCTCTTATATATTACCACCTTTGACCTAACCACTCCTATGAATCCGCTGTTCATCTTCCTATGCTAATGCGCTATGGCAATCTGGGCCGACGCACATACGTGCCTGGTCCTACGTTGTAGCTGACTGACTGACTGGATATGTCGTTAGAAAGTTTTAACATCAACGACCGCTGTCTACCTGAAAACCGTATTTAGGAACCTAGTTTGTTTCACGTCCGTTTATTCGCGGATCCTGTGACAACTTCGTCTAGGTTTGCTTGGATTGGTGTGGCACTAGGCATTAGACCTGAGGCAGGACTAATCGAAGAATTATTTTATTTTCAACAACCAGATATTGATACAAGGAGGCACCAAATGCATATGCGCCACACAAATCTCATTCGATATGTGTAAGAGCTGCGATACTGCCCGGGTGCCCAAACCGAAGCACGTGGTTTTCTTAGGGGGCCACTCCCCTAGCCTTCGACCTGAAGATCTGATCCATAAGGCAGTGGAGCATCGTAAGGAGACGCAGTCCCATGGTAGCCGGTGACCAACAATTGGTTCATACGCCATTTGTTCCTTCACGATACTGGAGCCCATGTGCACCATTGGTTTGGAATCCGGTTAAAGCGCCGGACATTCGCTTTTCGTCCTCTCATTTTCGTAAACAACACCCCCGCCACGAGAAAGCAGTGAGTAAGACTTCCCTGGAAGAGGTTATATACGCATGGCCATGTGAGAGCATTCGGAGAAGGAGAGCGGACTCTCCCCACTCTCGGCCATACCACGGCATTTGGGGGCAATTGATGATATCCCAAAAAGCAATCGATCATGCACAGTCAGATTTGGAAGCCTCATCAGTGAGAAATCGGTCTTTATCTTATTTTATTTGAACACAAATATTGGTAAAAAGGATCGCTAAATACATATGCGCCACACAAGTCACCTGATTTGTGTGTGAGTTGTGATACTGCCAGTGTCCAAGCTGAAGCAGGTTATTTTCTTAGTAAGCCATACCCGGAGTCTTCGACATAAAGGTCTGATCAACAATGCAGTGGAGCAACGTCAGAAGATGCAGTTCCATGGTGACCAACTATTAGCTCATACGCCATTTGTTCCTTCAGGATACTGGAGCCCACGTGCACCATTGGTTTGGAATCAAAGTTTTCCAACTCCTCTAGGTGGACCCTACCTGTCTACCAACCTGGTTAAAGCTCCAGACATTCGCTTTTCGTACTGTCGATTTCGTAAACAACACCCCCGCCACGAGAAGGCAATGAGTAGGACTTCCCTGGCAGAAGCTAAATACGCGTGGCCATGTGAGAGCATTTGGAAAGGGAGAGCTGACTCTCCCCTGCCTCAGCCGTACCAGGACGAAAACTGGAAGCCCTGGACGTCCGTTTCTTTCTAGCATAAGACTCCCCAGCAGTGCGTACCCAATGTCCGATCCGCCGGACTCGAACCTCGCACGCGAACGCTTAACCTCTAGACCACTGAGCACGACAGATTACAACCCAGATATAATCAAGGACAGATTTTATCGCAAGTTAAGTGATCTCCAGAAAGCGCCTGGAGATTAAAATTGCTTTGTACCTTTCTTTCTACCAAATGATTCCTTCTGTACTATATCCTTATATCTAATCTTTTTTCTTCATACCTTACTGCCATTGAAGTAACTGTTCTGTGAATTCGGTGTTCATTTTGCTGTAGTAATGAGGTATGGCAGCTTGGACCGATGCATATATGTGCCTGGTCCTACGTTGTAGTTGATTGACTGGTTCCTTCGTGGTATTAATCTGGCAGGAACAGGACCGAAGGATTCTAAAGAACGCACAACTTTGAGATAGAATTTCAAAAAAACTTCAAAAAATGGAAAATGAGATTTTTTGCAATTAGTTGAATAATAATATGGTGTATGTAATCCTAAGATGAAAATACAGGAAACTTAAAAAGTTTTAGAGTTAAGGCTTCCTCACCACGATTGATACTGCTATTCTATTTCGATTCTACTTATATTCATTAGGTTAATTTTATCTCGGTATGTTAATGTGATATGGCAATTTGAACTAACGCATATTTATGACACCTTAAATCAATTACTACTGCCTGACTGATTGTTCACTATACAGTCTTTTAAAGAATACCCGATTTAAGTCAATGTGAAGGTGGGTTAATAAGAATTTCTCAATAACAAACAAACAAAAACGGGACTCACCATGAAGAGAAAGAAGCCTATAACTATTTGTGTGTGACCAAAGGCTGTAAAACAAGAAAAAAACATTATTCAGAACAAAAATAGTTTTACTCATGATAAATATTAATAAGCTTTTGTGGTTATTACGACGAAACATGTATAACTCAAGTAATCACTTTTCGCAGATAAATATTTCGAAATTCATCTAGATATACTTTGTAACGACTGACATCGGTAAACTACTTAATAATATTAATAGAGTCAAATTATCCGACTTGCCGTTGAATCCATTTGCGATCGCATTATGAGGCACTTATTAGCATCTTTCAATTAACAATTATTTGTACCTGTAATTCTAAATATTTTATTATTTTATTTTAACACATAAACATTGGTACAAGGCGGCACCAAATATATATGCGCCACATAAATCATTCGATTTGTGTGAGGGCTGGGATACTGCCCAGGTGCCCAAACCGAAGCAGGTGGTTTTCTTAGGAGGCCACTCCCCGAGCCTTCGACCTGAAGGTCTGATCCACAAGGCAGTGGAGCATCGTAAGGAGATGCAGTCCCATGGTAGCCGGTGACCAACGATTGGTTCATACGCTATTTGTTCCTTCACGATACTGGAGCTCATGTGCACCATTGGTTTCCCGACCGAAGCTGCTACCTTGACGCGGTGGTTGGGCTTGCCTATTGTGATGACCCAACCGAGCTATATTGGCTGGAACATATGTTCCTGTAGGTTCTACCATGCTAGGCAGGTCGATTGGAGAACGGTAAGATTAAAAGCAGCATTCAAGGTCTGAGGTCGAAGTCGTACTGCTGACTGTAGAGAGGTATGACAGCAGTAAGGTGTTTCCCTCGGACAACCAGCATGACAGCGATGCTGCCTTCCGACAAGGAGGGGTGGGGTTAGAAAAGGTCGACTCTAAAAATGTTACACCTCACCTTACCTCATGGATTTCCGTCTCCAGCGGTAAGGCCCTTTGAAGAACGGAGCTAACACGTCAAAAACCTTCCACAAAAAGGCCGTACGCGACCGGCCTCAAGCAGTTGTTCCTTGGGCTCTGCGGTCACGCTCCCAGGTCGTCAAGACCAACACTAATCCAATTTCCTTTTCAGGTTCCTCAAAAAATACCCTTCCACGGTGTGGGCAGCCGGGAAGTGACATCAGCCCTCATACCCGTAACAGCACACGAGACCACGGATATCCGTCTCCGGCGGTAAGGTCTCAATAAGTACGGAACTAACATGAAAATTACCCATAAAAAGGTCGTGTGACCGACCTCAAGCAGTTGTCCCTTGGGCACTGCGGTCACGCTCCCAGGTCACTAAGACCACTTCTAATCCAATTTCCTTTTCAGGTACCTCCAGAAGAACCCTTCCACGGTGTGGGCAACCGGGAAGTGATAACCGCCCTCATACCTCTAACAGCACCCAAGACCACTGTATTCATAATCAACCTTCCTCTTCAATTCCTATTATTCCTCCTACATCGACTTTCAACCCTAAACTTCCTCCTTCGGCTTCTTCCTCAAGTGTCACCATAGCCAACGATTCTAGTGCTCAAAACTCTGTCCCAGGTCTACTGAAACCTCGCTCCAAACTACACATTGGAGCTTTCAACGTACGCACTCTATGTCAAATCGGTCAACAGGCTTCCTTGGCTAAAACCCTAGAGTCTCTTTCCATCGATGTATGCTGTGTCTCCGAAACACGCATACAGGATTCCAGTGTGGTCATTCACTTGACCTCACCTCGGCAAAACGAAGAGCCAACGAGATACACCCTACGTGTATCTGGTGACCCGATGGCCAGTTCTCGTGGACTGGCAGGTGTAGGCATAGCACTAAGCATGAGGGCGGAACAAGCACTGCTAGAGTGGATCCCCGTCAACAGTCGTCTATGTGCTGTCCGGCTAAACGGCTCCGTAAGAACTCCGAAGGATAGGGACACACGTCGTTGCCTTTTTGTCGTTTCTGCTTACGCTCCCATCGACTGCAGCTCAGATGAAGTGAAGGATGAATTTTACAGAAACCTATCTGAACTTCTTCAGAAAGCTAAACGTTCAGACATAGTACTCGTAGCAGGTGACTTTAATGCCCAGATAGGTAGTCTCAACCAAACAGAAAGGCATTTAGGTGGGTATTTTAGTATACCGGCACAACGAACAGATAATGATGATCGTCTGCTGCAACTATGCTCAGACAATCGTTTATTTTTTAGCAAACACAAATTTTAAGCATAAGGAGAGACATCGTCTAACATGGCGACCCCCTACACCAAACCAACGATGGACTCAAATAGACCATATTTCCATCAGTCATCGTTGGAGAGGGTCGATAGAAGATTGTCGCTCATTCTGGAGTACCTGCTTGGACTCCGACCATGCCCTAATACGGGCACGCATCTGCTTGCGCCTCACTGAACGCAAAAAGACCCATTAGAACTGAATTGAGTAACAAAAAAACCAAAAGTAAGTTCCAGGAACAACTGAGGTCACACTTAGGTAGTTCTGAAAACGAGGCTGACCCAGATGTTGCTTGGAAAGATATACAAACAGCTGTGGAAACAGCAATAAAATCTATTAGTGACTTAACCCACAGAGTTACAAAGAACCAGTGGATTTCTTCAAAGTCTATCACACTGACGGATTCTCGCAAACTCGTCCCACCAGGTTCCGAACATGATGAAGAGCGACAGCAAATCAGATCTAGGTTAAGAAAAAGTCTAAGAAACGACCGTGAGCAGTGGTGGGCAACGAAAGCAAGAGATGGAAAAGGCGGCGGCTATAGGGAACACAAGACAGCTCTACAGACTAATAAAAGAAACTGGAATTAATAAGTCAAGTGTAAGTGAGATTATTTCGGAAAAAGACGATACTCTTATCTACTCCCAGTCCAGACGTTTAGAACGATGGGCGGAACACTTTAGGGAACAGTTCAGCTGGCCTTCAGCGACTCTACAACTACCGTCCATTCCCAGACAGTGTGAATGGAACATTGAAGTAGGTCCCCCAACTCTAGCAGAAGTTCAAAAGGCTATAGTTAATCTGAAACGAGGAAGGGCAGCTGGTTCAGATGGATTGGCCCCAGAATTCTTTAAGGATGGTGGTCCAATTTTAGCGGTTAGGTTGACTAATATTTTAGCTAAGATCTGGGAGTTAGATGTTATTCCATCTGACTGGTCGCAATCACTTATCGTCCCAATATATAAGAAAGGGTCAAAATCATCCTGTGACAACCACAGAGGGATTAGTTTAACAAATATAGTATCTAAAATACTAGCCTCAATAATAATCAGACGCCTTACTATGACTCGTGAACTGCAAACACGAGAAAACCAAGCTGGCTTCAGACCAGGTCGTGGCTGCATCGACCACATATTCACCATTCGTCAGGTTCTAGAACACAGGCATACTTATCGACGTCCGACAATGGTGGTCTTTCTTGATTTAAAAGCAGCATTTGACTCTGTAGACCGCGAGATTCTGTGGCAGTGTCTGTCATTGAAAGACGTACCCCAGAAGTATATAAACCTTGTAAAGGCTCTTTACTCGAACACTACCAGTCGAGTCAGAGCTTATGGCGAACTGTCATCTACTTTTGCAACCTCAAGTGGTGTCCGTCAAGGCTGTCCACTTTCTCCATTTCCGTTTAACTTCATCATAGACCTACTGATGGAAATAACATTCTCGTCGACTGAATTCTCGGGTATTGATCTCCTTCCAGGGGGTCCACTTATCGACTTAGAATACGCAGATGATATAGTCCTGTTTGGTGAAGACGCTGATAAAATGCAGAGTCTTTTGGTAGGACTAAGCAACAATGCCAGAATGTTTGGAATGCGCTTCCCTCCCTCTAAATGCAAGTTCTTGCTTCAGGACTGGTCTGCGTTAACACCTGAACTAAGGATAGGGAGTGAAGTGGTCGAACGCGACGACAACTTCACTTATCATGGAAGTCTGATCAGCCCAAATGGGTTGGTATCGGACGAAATCTCAGCACGGATTCGAAGAGCTCGTTTGGCTTTTGCCAACTTACGTCACCTTTGGCGAAGGCGAGATATCCGTCTATCAATAAAAGGACGAGTATACTGTGCGGCAGTCCATTATGTCTTACTTTACGGCAGCGAAACATGGCCTTTAAAAGTAGAAGACACCCGTAAGCTACCAGTATTTGACCACAGATGCCTAAGAAATATTGCTGGCGTCTGCTGGGATCACCGGGTAAGTAATAGTGAGGTTAGACGCAGGGTATTAGGAAAGGATGGTAAATCAGTTGATGAGGTTGTTAATCATCATCGACTGAGATGGTTGGGCCACGTGTTACGTATGCCTGAACACCGATTACCACGACGTGCAATGCTAACGGGTGTTAGAGATGGTTGGAAGAGAATTAGGGGCGGCCAAACCAAAACGTGGCATCAGTGCTTTAAGAAATTAACCTCTAGTCTGAGCCATGTTGGTAGATGCAGACTACATGGTTGGGGTCCGCGTGACTTTCGTAACCGAAGGTTGGAGACTCCTGGTGATATGGCTCAGAATCGTTCACAACGGCGTCGGTGCATGCACTCCCTGTCTTCCCTTAAACTAAGAGATTAAAATTGCTTCATATCTTTCTTTCTACGAACTAATTCTATATTCCGGTACTGTATCCTTATATGCAATCTTTCTCCTATATATTACCACCTTTAACCTAACCACTCCTATGAATCCGGTGTTCATCTTGCTGTGCTATGGCAACCTGGACCGATGCATATATGTGCCTGGTCCTACGTTGTAGCTGACTGACTGACATTCAAATCCTTCCTACACCTCCTAATACCTCCCTTATCACCATGGCTAACCCTCCTCACGTCTCTTTATCACCTCGCACCGCTAAGGCAAACGATTCGAGTACGTGGAACTCGATTCCTGTTCTCCTGATACCACGCTCTAAACTACACATAGGAGCTTTTAACGTACGAACACTTTGCCAAATAGGACAGCAGGCTTCCTTAGCTAGGACTTTGGAATCTCGCGCCATCGATGTGTGCTGCGTCTCCGAAACGCGCATACAGGATACAAGTAGCGTCATTCATTTGACCTCACCATGCCAAAATAAAGAACCGACTCGATTTACGCTTCATGTATCTGGAAGCCCTGATTCTGCTTCCCGTAGCCTCACTGGCGTAGGTATAGCCTAGGTATAGTCCTAGTCCTAGGGCAGAACTAGCTCTCTTAGAGTGGATCCCAGTAAATAGCCGTTTGTGCGCTGTCCGACTGAACGGAACAGTAAGAATCCGGAAAGATAGGGACACTCATCGTTGCCTCTTCGTCGTCTCTGCCTATTCTCCCACTGACTGCAGCTCAGACGATGTAAAAGATGAGTTTTACAGAAAACTCTCCGATCTCCTCCTAAAAGCTAGGCGCTCTGATGTAGTAATAGTGGCCGGTGACTTAAATGCTCAAGTAGGTAAACTAAGCGATGAGGAAAGACACCTAGGTGGATCTTATGGTGTCGTGGCTCAAAGAACAGATAATGGCGACCGTCTGTTGCAGCTATGCTCAGATAACCGCCTGTTCCTTGCAAATACTAACTTTAAGCATAAGGAAAAACATCTTTTAACATGGCGACCCCCTAATTCGTCCCAACGTTGGACCCAAATAGAACACATCGCTATCAGGCTCGATAGAAGACTAATGCTCATTCCGGAGCACATGCTTAGATTCAGATCATGCTCTGGTGCGAGCGTGTATCTGCTTGCGTCTTACTGGACGTAGGAAAGACGCTGCAAGGAAACCTCTTAGAGGCCTACTTAATGATAGCCAAGTTAAGAGTATATTTCCGGAACAACTAGGAAAAGTTAGGCAGCCATGTATGTGATGCCCACCCCGATGCCGCATGGAATGATATCCGAAAAGCTGTGGAAACAGCAGTGAGTAAGGTAAACTAGAAGGTTAGGGAGCAACACTGGATCTCAGCAGCATCTATCGTACTGATAGATGCTCGGAAACTCATTCCACCTGGCTCTGAACATAGTGAAGAACGGAGTCAGCTTAAGCGCAAGCTGACAAGAAGTCTACGCAATGATCGCGAACAGTGGTGGGTAGCGAAAGCAAGAGAGATGGAGAAGGCAGCGGCAATAGGTAATAGCAGACAATTGTTCAGACTCGTTAAGGAAACCGGAATTAGGAACCCGATTGTTAGCGAAACAATCTCAGAGAAAGATGGATATATCATACACTATCAAACCAGGAGATTGGATCGGTGGGCAGAACACTTCAGGGGTCAGTTCAACTGGCCTTCAGCCACACTTCGGTTTCCCACGATCCCCAGTCAACCTGAATGGCAAGTTAATGTAGGTCCACTTTACGAAGTTGAAAAAGCCATAGGAAATCTGAAGCGAGGGAGAGCAGAAGGCCCTGACAGGTTTACTCCTGAGATTTTTAAGGATAGTGGTCCAGTATTAGCAATGAGATTAACCGAGGTCTTAGGTAGAATTTGGGAACTGGACGTAATCCTATCTGACTGGTCTCAATCACTGATTGTGCCAGTCTATAAAAAAGGACAAAAGTCCTCTTGTGACAATCACAGAGGAATCAGTTTGACTAATATAGTGTCTAAAATATTAGCCTCAATAATACTTCGACGCCTAATCAAAGCTCGTGAAGAGCAGATTAGAGAAAACCAGGCCGGTTTTCTACCTGGACGTGGTTGTATGGACCAGATATTCACACTACGTCAGGTTCTAGAACACAGACACTCGTTCAGACGCCCCACAATGGTAGTATTTCTCGACCTTAAGGCGGCATTCGACTCTGCAGATCGTGAGGTTCTATGGCAGTGTTTGTCATTGAAAGGAGTACCAAATAAGTACATTAACCTTATAAAGGCTCTCTACTCGAGCACAACTGGTAGAGTGAGAGCTTATGCCGAACTGTCATCAGAATTGATTACCTCAGGTGGTGTTCGTCAGGGCTGTCCACTCTCCCCATTCTTGTTCAACTTTGTGGTCAACGTACTTTTAGAGATAACACTCTCCTCATCTAAATTTCCAGGGGTTGAACTTCTACCGGGAGGTTTACTTGTTGACTTAGAATATGCTGATGACATAGTTTTATTTGGTGAAGACGCTGACAAAATGCAGAGTCTTCTGACCACACTAAGCAACAATGCAAGCATGTTCGGGATGCGATTCTCTCCCTCGAAATGCAAAATGTTGCTTCAGGATTGGGTTACATCGACACCCGAACTAGTGATAGGGAGTGAAGTAGTTGAGTGTGTCGACCGCTTCACTTATCTTGGAAGTCTAATCAGCCCTTGTGGTTTGGTGTGTGACGAAATCTCAGCACGGATACAGAAGGCTCGACTAGATTTTGCCAACTTGCGTCATTTATGGCGTAGGCGAGATATCCGTCTACCAACCAAAGGACGTGTTTACTGCGCAGCAGTTCGTTCCGTCTTACTTTATGGCAGTGAAACATGGCCGGTAAGAGTAGGGGATATTCGTAGGTTACTAGTATTTGATCATAGGTGTCTTCGAAATATTGCTCGTATATCCTGGGACCACCGAGTAAGTAACGCAGCTGTTAGGAAACGGGTACTAGGTAAGGATGGCAAATCAATTGATGAAGTAGTGAAACTTCATCAGTTGAGATGGCTGGGACACGTGTTACGTATGCCCAACCACCGACTACCTCGACGTGCTATATTCAGTGGTATAGGAGTAGGTTGGAAGAAAGCTAGGGGCGGTCAAACCAAAACATGGCACAAATCCATGAAGTCACTGACAAGTGGACTGAGTCATGTTGGTAGGTGTAGACTACCTGGTTGGGGACCGCGAGATGATAGCAACCGATGGTTAGAGACCCTGAATGACATGGCTCAAAATCGTTTGCAATGGCGCAGGTGCATCCACTCTTTGTGTTCTCCCAAATTCTAATCTTCTGAATTCTTCATGTCCCTTTCTTCCTCTTTCCAAATTTATTTCACTGGATTATACTCTTTAAATAACATCTCCAAACCCTAATCTTCCCGATCACTGCTTATACTCTTGCTACCTCTACCACTACGGGATTTGAATCGACAACTGCATCTCTGTGCTAAGGTGGTGCGGCAACTCGAACTGATGTACGTACGTACGAAGTTCTACGTTGTGACTGACTGCACCATTGGTTTGGGATCCGGTTAAAGAGCCGGACATTCGCTTTTCGTCCTCTCATTTCCGTAAACAACACCCCCGCCACGAGAAGGCAGTGAGTAGGACTTCCCTGGCAGAGGCTATATACGCGTGGCCATGTGAGAGCATTTGGAGAGGGAGAGCGGACTCTCCACACTCTCAGCCGTACCAGGGTATTTGGGGGCAATTTTAAATAAACCAGATGTACGTTTGTATCCCCTTAATCTCAACAGTTTCATTGGGTTTGGGATCCTTGGGTAAGATTTCAGGTAGTAAATGTCACATTCTACGTATCTGACACCTTCATACTCAGTAACCATATATTTATAGTAAATGTGGGATGCACCATTAATTGACTAATTTTCAGGGTTTAGGAAAGTACATACTTTAGAAATGAGTTTAGCTAGACGTATTTAGTACAAAATGGTCAGAAACCTGATACTTATAATCTGTTTCATTTCGAAGATAGATACTACTTTTCAACAAATATGTGGTTTTGACACAGAATATTAAAAGACTAACTTAAAACATACAGCAGTTCACCTACCTAATTAACATACAAACTGAAAAAAACACTTGATCAACTGTTAATCAAACTTACTAGGTGGTGTGTATAAATGATGATTTGTAAAATAGCTTATGAACAAAGCGAATCCAAAATAATATGAACAATTGACGAACAGATTACGCAATGGCATTGTAGCATGAGAAAACCGATGGACAAACACGGTTTCCAGTAGACGTTTAATGTAGTGGCCAGACCAACAAGCTAAAGCAACTCTTCTTAAATAGAAGTCAGATGACATAGGAGGAAGCATGTTATTTTTTAAAGAAGGTTGTCGAAGAAGCCAAACGATTGCATATATGATTAGTGGTCCTGTGTACTCTAATAAAAACACCGTACGCCAACCAATTTGTGGTCCAATATCCCTTAAATATAAATTAACACACCCAGATTTGTCCGTGTTTTCAAACTCAGATATTCGTTTGTTATCATCTATTGACTTTCCACCTTTAAGAAATTGGACAAAAAAGTATTTTTAGTAGTAGGAAGCTTACAAGCATATTTGAAAAATCTCAGGAATTACTATGCAGTCTCAAGAAAGGTATTCCAAAAAAAACTTGAACGAACATTTACGGTACGTAATAAAAATGAAAAGTTTTCAGCTACGTAGATTTAAATATATTTTGTTTGAAAACCTTGAATTATTTCCATCAAGAGCAGAGCTGAATTAATTCGTATCAGCAACCAGAAAGTCGATACAGTGTTGGGATTAATTTATTTTGGTAGTCCATTTGCATTACTTTAATTGCAAAACCAGTTCTTTTGAATTTCGTCACATCAGTCAGTCAGTTAGCTACAAAGTAAGACCAGGCACGTATATGCATCGGTCCAAGTTGGTGGATACGGAGTCCACCTAGAGTTGGAAAACTACAATTCCAAACCAATGGTATATAGGCTCCAGCATCCTGAAGGAACAAATGGCGAATGAACCAATCGGTGGTCACCGGCGAGCATGGGACTGCACCTTCTTGCGTTGCTTCACTGCCTTGTGGATTAGACCTCCAGGTCAAAGGCTCAAGGTGTGGCCGCTAAGAAAACCACTTGCTTCGGTTTAGGCGCCCAGGCAGTATTCTAGCCCTCATACAAATCGAATGATTTATGCGGCGCATATCTATTTGTTGCCTTCTTGTACCTATATTTATGTTTAAATAAACAAATAAACAAGTGAAGTTGTCACAACTCATTAGAACAACAAGATGAACACCAAATTCATAGTAGTGAATTCAATGGTGATAATATATAAAAGGAAAGTTGCATATAAGGATATAGTACGGAAAGAAAGAATTAGATGGTAGAAAGAAAGATATGAAGCAATTTTAATCTCTTAGTTTAAGGGAAGACAGAAAGCGTATACAACTACGCCGTTGTGATGGACTCTGAGCCATCACCCAGAGTCTCCGACCATAGGTTACGATAGTCACGCAGACCCCAACCAAGTAGCCTGCATCTACCAACACAGCTCAGACCAAACGTTAGTGACTCCAAAGAGTGATGGCACGTTATGATTTGGCCGCCCTAAACTTTTTTCTTACCATTCCCAACACTAGTCAGCATTGTGCGTCGTGGTAATCGGTGTTCAAGCATAAGTAACATGTGGCTCAATTGTCTCAGTAGGTGAAGATTTACAACCTCATCAACCGATTTATAATCATTGCCTAATACCCTACATCTAACCTCACTATTACTTACCTGGTGATCCCAGCAGATGCGAGCTATATTTCTGAGGCATCTGCGGTCCAATACTAGTAGTTAACAAATAACTTCTACTCTTAATGGCCACGTTTCACAGCCGTAAAGTAGAACGGAACGAACCGCTGCGCACTATACTCGTTCCTTAATTGGCTTTGCCATAGGTGACACCATTTGGCAAAAGTCAAACGACCTTTTCAAATCCGTGCTGAGATTTCACCAGAAACCAACCTATTAGGGCTGATCAGAAAAATAAGTGGAGTTGTCGATGCGTTCGACTACTTCACTCCCTATTCAGGTGTTAACGCAAGCCAGTCCTGAATCAACAATTTGCATTTAGAGGGGGGAGATGCATTCCAAAAACATGGGATTGTTACTCAGTGCTACCAAAAGACTGTATTTTATCAGCGTCTTACCAAACAGGACTATATCATTAGCACATTCTAAGTCGATAAGTGGACCTCCTGGTAGGAGATCAATGCCAGGAGATTCAGTCGACGTGAGCGTAATTCCCAGCAGTAGGTCTATGATGAAATTGAACAAAAATGGAGATAGTTGACAGTCTTGCCGAATACCATTTAAGGTTGCGAAATCAGATGACAGTTCGCCATATGCTCTGACTCGAATGGCAGTGTTCGTGTAGAGCCCTCAAAAGGTTTGTGTACTTTTGAGGTACACCTTTCAATGACGGGTTTGCCTGGATAGTGGTCAGTGAAATTTTTTTATTAGCTGCATTGAAAAAGATGTAAGGCAGAACTATGATGGCAGGTATTTTATGCCGCAAATGCAGTATTATGACTAGTTTGTTAGGAATAATGATGAAGAAATCACGTGATAAGTCGAATCGCTATCTAAAATAGGACGAGATTATCAGTGGTATGACCTAATGGAGAATGAATTGCAAGTCAAGTATTGAATGATCACGAATATTGCCAACTAAATGGCCATGGATATATGATACTCGGAAGACTAATTACGTTTCCTTCATTAGAAAATTGCTGATAAAACAGAATAAGTGCCTCGGGAAACTAATTGAAAGTTTCTCATACACACTTTGTGTTCCAGAAACATCTGCTCACATTTATTGGTAAAAACTAATTGTGGTGAGGTACTGTTTACAATTGATTGTGGGATAGTCGCAAAACTTACGAGGATCAAGACGAATACTCTGTCGGACTAATTGAGGCTTCTTTTCTGAAATTTTGGTTAACAACAAAAAATGTCATACTTTCCAGATAAATTCTATTTTTAAGGTCGAGAATCGTTGCATCAGTTGAGACCTATGTATATAGTGCAAGATTGATTTTTAAAAGGAACGTACATTCTCCCATGTAATAAGTAGTTTGTCAGTTTTACACTCCCGAACAAATACCTGACAGTAATTAAGAACTACAAACGCTTACTTTCATCCCTTATATGCAGATGGTAATTGAAATCCACAAGAGGACCAGGGGGCAAGGTAAAAGGCACGGTAAAAACGGTAATCCCTTTCAAATCTGTCCGCCGTTTCGTTTCAACGACCTTGAACGCGCTGACTGGAAGCGAGCATCCGTATTTCAATTGCCGTGTGTGTGATGGGTCCTATGAGTATTAAATTTTTCTATATATAAGTCATCTTCTGATGCATAATAAACACTAAATAACTGCTAAGAGCATTAATTCAGTATTTTCTGTTTTGTAGTGCACACTTTAGATCTGTTGTTCCTTCGAAACTTGATCTGTGGTCCTAAGTGCTGTAGTGAAAGTTAACAGCTATATATAATTTGTTGATAAGGTCCAGAAAACAAAGTTAGAATAAAATAACGTAAAAGGTTATAGATACGCATAGATTTTGTGAGTTAAGACGAAATGTCAACTGAAGGGTAAGTCCTAAATATTTCTTGTTCTTCCTTCAGTTAATTTTTTTCAAGGAATAACCTTTTTTTAATAACTATTGCGTGTTGTCTCTAGTGCTTCATGCTCAAGTGAAATTTCAGTGGACGTAAGCGACGCGTTCTAACGTATTGTGCTGAACAAGAGATTCGGAAGCTGGATTGAATTTGATAATGCGCTAAATGATTTCCATAAAGTATGATAGGATAAATCTATGTTTCCTCAGATGACCCATACACACTATGTTCACGCAGAAAGTAGATTAATGAAGGATGTGAGATATAAATACCAGTGGACCTTTAGCTTTCAAACAAAACCCCCTAATATACAATGCAATACTAAACTTTGGTTAGTTCAAATACATTTTTAACTTCTTTGCAGTTATATTCAACTAATTGCTTCCGAAAATCCAAATCAATCTTCAGATATTAGTATTAACAACATCGGGTCGGCAACCTGTGATGGTTGAAGGGCAGCCGAAGTTTGCTACCCACCGTTCGACGAAGGTGTAGGCCACTGTTTCAGCAGTGATGTCCTTGATAGGTATTGCTTCTGGTCATCGAGTTAAACGGTTAACGCAGGTTGAGAGATAAGAGTATCCATTAGAATCTGGTAAAGTTCCTTCCAACTCCAGATAAACATGGTGGAAACGAGCATCGGGAGTTTTAAGTGAGCCTGAGGGACATCTATTGTGTCTGATAACCTTAGATTTTTGACCGCTTACGCTGGAGCGTGCTCACTAGCATCTTTATTCGTACCAGGCCAACAAAACTGTTCTGCTATAAGCTTGATGGTTGCACGAACGCCTGGATGAGAACGTTTGTGCAATGTGTTGAAGACATTGCGCCCATAACGTTTCGGCACGATTGGGCGATCCCTACCTGTAGATGTGTCACAAAGTAAGGTTTCCTTACCTGGTCCCATCTGTTTGATGCGTACTTTGGGGTTGTATCCCAGGATGCTCATCGAGTAGTGGTTGACAGATCAAGTTCATCGTGTGCTTAATTGTGACGGAAGATAATCTGCAACCGGAAAGGGAAGTTACGCAAACAGATAAATTAATGTTTCCGTCTACTAGCCCCTATTTACGCGTATCAATGAGTAGATTGTGATGCTGTAGAAGGTCTAAATCAATAAAAACATCTGCAACAACGAAAACCCAGTGAACGAGTTTGCGTAAACCCACGTTAAGGTAAACGTACCTTTCGCTATACGTAGCGATAGGCTTTCCGTTTGCTGCCTGTAAGGTTAAAACCGATTCGTGAAGCCGGTCGTTGGGATTCGCTGGGAGAACGCCAAATTCTGCGCCAGTATCGACGAGGAAGCAAACTTGTGTTGTCACATCTGTAACGTACAACAGACGGCTATGTTCGCCGGCTACGGTTGCCGTTAACGCGTGCTGGCTTGGAAGTCTCCCGCGTTGTTTTTCGTATCGGTCCGTTTTGAGTTGGGAAAATTGCAGGATGTTTTGCGATTTCTGGACGTCTTTCCAGCACCAGTCGGGATTATCCGTCTCTCATGTTCTAGAGACAGATCGCCTACGTGAAATGCTTCTACGTGAGGTGTGTGACCGCTTACGGTCGTCACAAAATTTAAGACAACGCGCAAGTGTATGACATAACTCTGTCACTTCCTTCTTGGTCGTTTGAGGTTTTTCTTTGACTGGAAAAACCTCGGTATAAGAAGATTTGGTGATTTTTGAAATGCAGTCGACAGATGCAGCCAGCTCGTCTAAGGCGTTATTATGAAATGAAACAAGCACAGCCTGCACTTGTTGAAGAAGTTTGGACAAGAAAAGGTGTTTGAATAGGCTATCGTCGAAAGTTCTTTGGCCGATAACCTCTCTCATTCGTTGCGATATGTCCGTCGCAGAACCATGTCGCAGGTCGATGTTATTGAGGAGTTGGTTTAACCTTTGTCTATCGGTTAGGTCCCCGCGTTTAGGAATAGAACGTTTCAGCGTTTCACAAGGATCCGAGACTTCATTAGTAAACATACTAGGTGTTACGCAGCTGTTGAATTGGCGCGGTAGTGCCTTTACTACTGCGAGGAATTGTGCACGTGTGTCAATCACGCCGTTCCCAGAGAAGTCGGCTTTTGTGTAGCAAAACCAGGCTTCGATGTTGTCTGGCCAGAAGGGCATCAGTTGAAACGAAGGTGAGGATATAGTCTTAAGCTTAAGTACTTTGGGTGTCTGTTAAGTCATGATGAAATAAGAAGTATGAGAATGAACGTGGGAAAAATACATATGTTTATATTCAAAAAGCACGAAAAAATATCACAATGTATAAAAATTAAGATAAAGAAATGATATTTAGAATCTCAAAATGGAACAGACTCACAGTTTGTGATTTGGTCTACCAGATCACGTTAGGCTCACCAATGAAGTTGTCACATATATTCAGTGTCTGACAACGCTTTAACCAGTAACACCTTCTAATATATCTCGTACCCATCAAGAGGAATGAAAAAACACAATCGAGGAGATCAGAATTTGCATTTCAAGATTGCCAATATATCGGAATTGTCTGATCTAGTCTAGCTAGCGATTGCAGTAGATGTTGAGCACAGCGTTCCCACACGTGATCTGGTGCGGATGCACGAACGAGTGTCGTTTGCTGGGTGAGTCCATTGAAACATGTGGTCAGCATCCAATGTCGAAAACTTACAGAGCTATTTATTTTGGGGATTTGTTTACCGCTACACGAGTATCTAGTCGTCTCGTGAAAGATTTAAAGTGTCCACAGATATCCATGGCTTGACAACTCTACTGACTGTCACACCTTTATAATTCAAAGATCCGAAACCCAGAAGTCAGGAATAAAGAAGTTCGAAGACACGTTAGGAAGATATTGGATACAGTTTCTGTTTGGAAAGAACGGAAGGCTAGGCGGTGGATGCTAGTTCTGGCAGTGGCGGTTTCTCAGTCAGTCCAATTTTCTTTTTAGAGCGTTGACAAACGGAGCCTTAAACACGTATTTAAATAACAAATTCCATTCGGTGATGGTTCGACCGGAATGTCACCAGTCAGATGACAAGCGATTTGTTCTGAGCTGGTGAACCTTTCTAATTCATATTCATACAACAACATTTTCATTTGGGCTATATGATAAAACCATACTATATCACTTTTAAACAATATATAATCACGTTTGAAGAATAATCGCATTCCATATTTGTATACTATTCCTTATATCGTATTTGAATGCTATAACCTAAGTTCTCTGTGTATCCACAGGATCTATTCAGAGCTCTATCTAACACTTAAAAAATATAGAAGTATTTATGATGAAGCGCTATATTCACCACTTTATATGCTATCTTTTAAATTGTATTTGAGTGTCATAACTCATTTAATTTCTGAAATTACCTGTTTCATTTAGTGATTCTGTCATAGTTTTTGGTCGATATATCTACCTCCCCCAATTTTAACTGATTCAGCATTTCAGTTAATATGCGTATCATATGCCGTGCCTACTTTGACTGTTTGATATCAATTACCAACAGTTCTGGATTGCTTTATTGTGTAAGGCTATCTTTCCGTGCATTATAGATGTTAAAGTATACACAATATGCATATTTGTGTTCTATTTTGCCGCCGTACATGTACTGTGATACATACTATATCTCTACTACCATCCTCCTGCCACTATACACTTTTGTATTTGACATCTTTACTAATCCTCACGATACATTTACTCTTTTCCAAAACACAGGTTTTGCTTTGCAAACTATCTTGAGCCCTCGGCCTTAATTTTTCCACCTGTTTCTATTTCCAACTTATTGTTCTATCCATCAGCTACTTATAACTTTCTTATCATGCCTCAAGAGGAACTGATATCCCCTTCTTCTAAGAGTCCAGCCAAACGTAGGAAAGCAACACGATCTAACACCACTACCGACAAGATTTTCGGCTGTTTCAAAGGAACAAACCACTCCGTTAGTCCAGAAGCAGACAAGCTTATGCCAGTTTTCGCCATTTCAGACATGTTGATGACTCTTTTAGTAAACAATGATGATAATCACAGCTGCGATATATGAACGATATAAGAAAGTTAAGAGTTGATATGAACATTCTCAATCCGCTTCAATATCTCATCAACCCCAACTTTGCAGAGATCTATATCAGACGAATGATATAAATAACTTTCTATATCTACAGCAGATTTCTCGGGCTAATTGATTATTATAAATGCTTGACTCCGAACTGTGCAGACTGTAGTTCACACGAAACTGTGTTGACTAGAAAATTCACGTTAAATTTTATTCAAGTTATTCCTGCAGCTCTTCTAGATTTATTGACGACCATATATTCGAGCAAATGAGGATGGTTCGGGATGAAGTCAGCAATCTCATCCTGTAGAGAAAAAAACCGATCGAACTCTGATCTGGAAGTTAAAGGATGCTCATTCACAGGAATTATGATGCTTGATGGTGAAAGACGAGATTTTTCGGAAGTCACTAGACATCCAGCGCAAAAATTAATTAATTTAGGTACATAAAAGGGCAGGACAATTTAGGAGACCGAAAGGACCAGTCGATAATTACGGAAATGAGGGAATGCAAGATGACTGTGCTCGATATCAGGGACACTTACTGGACATAGCTTGAACAGAAAACGTTGGATTCTGGAGAGCTGCTTCGGTACTC